TCTACGTACACACCCATAGAAACCTTGGTCCTTGAACTTGAGTTTATACTTTTTTCAAATAAATATACATTATAATAATTACACATTTTTGTGGTTTCGCTGAGGTCATGCTGCCTGACATGGTAAACTGAACCGTTCTTTTTTTGTGAAAGGGCTACGGACCATGGCTTTGCACCATGATGATCACTTGGGGTCATCTTTATGATGCAATACCCTGGCCCCTGTTTCCTAAGAGCATGTCAGGATAAAAGTCCTTTGTTTTTTGTCGTGCTGGCTAACATTTGAGGAAGTTGAGCACTTTCAAAGTTGCCTCATTTTGCAACATGATTTTTATTTTAAAGTTTTCAAACAAAAAATTATGCCAAACTATTTTGTTGCGAATTTATACAACCAAATGACCTTTTTTGATAGTTTACTTAATCAACATATGTGGATGGACAATTGAAGCACCTGACATTGTTAGACTTCACGTCATGCATTTATTTATTTATATATATATATATATATATATATATATATATATATGTGTGTGTGTGTGTGTCAGATATTTCCCCAATGTTGTTCAGCCCTAGCTTCCATTGTAACACAGTTTTTCCAGGTCAGTAGAGTGATTGACTGGAGGAAGTGCTCCTGGTCATGTTAATGGTTGAACTGCAAGGAAGAAGGCCCTGACCCCGGTGACCTTTGGCTTTTCAAGTGTCCATTCAGGAAGCATTATTGTACAAAGGCTCGATTCTGCTCTGCTGACCCTCTCTGACATCCAGCGGACCTGCAGACATTAACTCTGCTTTACTTTTCCTCTCAGAGCAACTCCTCATCACTGAAGCTCTGAACGCTCCTGCACTCCACAGATTAGCCTGTTAGCGTGTTGCGTAACCAACCCGAGACAATAAAGCTTCTGTCTGTTCAACATTGCTTCATATATCTCTGTATGTTGTAGGCCAGCATGGTAGCTATAGATTTTAACCCAGAATTAGTTATTAGATTCATTAGAACTCTGCGGTAGTTACAGTGCTAGTAGAATAGCTCCTAAACGTTGAAAATGTCTGTAAATAAGGTTGTGAAAATGTCACTGATGCGTTGTAATGCACTGATTTGAAGGAGACAATTCAAGTGCATCGATATTGGAACGTTAAATTGATTATGATTGATTAAAATCAAATTCTTGGGCTGTTTTCAAACAAAATCCAAAACGTTTGTGCTTAGTGTCTATTCCACACAAAGTCAAAGTTTTTTTTTTTGCTATTTCTTCTCATCACAGATGTGTTGAAGAGGAATAAAATGCAGTTTCTCCAGGACATGGTGCTACATATAACATAGAACAGCAGCAGACAGACAATAATTAAATACAGACGATACAATAAACACAGACAAACTATACCATGAACTCTTCTGTGCAACATACAATAACTATACTTCCATTAAGCACAGGACAACAGAGAAAATAGACCAGCTGTTGGTCCACAGGAGCAGTAGTAGTTGTGCGTGTGTTTTTGTCAGTGCACTGATAATTAACAGTAGTACTTAGTGGTTAGGATCACACCAAAATAAATTGAATTGTGGTGAGATTTGAGATTTCATGATGCTCTGAATCAGAACTAGAACTAGAGAATCTTTGTGAGGTCAGGGGTGAGATTTACACCCCTGACCTTAAAGTTTCCACGCCTGCCAGTGATTTCCAGGCCTGAGCTTCTGAGTACCGTAACTGTAGAAGAGTTTTTTCCTCATCTGAAGACTTGTTCATACTGGTTTATGACAGCTTTTGATTCATAATTAATGCTTCCACCTCCTCCTTTTTGCAAGCCCTGTAGTGGGCTTTCTGCCAGCAGAATGGAAATATTAAATATCAAATAAGCCATTTTAGATTTTTATGATGACAAATAAACCATCAGAAATTTTAATTATACCATGAAAACAGAATGTGCCATCATTTGTTTTAATAAAATAAACGTAATTAAGGAATAGGGTCACTCGAAGCAGAAGGGTTTTGCCTAAAGTCAGTTAAAAGTCTGAAATGTGTTTTCAACACTGACTTTGAACCAGTTCAGAATGACACTGCATTGTTCTGCATTACTGCACAATTTCTATTTATTTGCTGAGTTTAACATATAAAGGGTGCCATAACTTTTACACAGGCCGCATTTTATGGCCTCCCCCCGTATGGCCCCCATCATATATTAAACTCTGTAAAAAAAACAGTAATTGTACACTAAAATGTGCCGAGTGTTCTCTGTAGAGGGTGATTGAACTTATTTTAACTTATAAAATCAACAAAACATGGAATTTAACCCGGAGCGCCAAACATCTGTATTTTTCCATTTGAAAACAGCCCAAGAATATTATTGCGGCTAACAAACTGACTCATGCTGTTGAATAACTGAATATAATTCTCTTCGATTCTAATGTTCCACAATCTTTGCAGCTGAATCACAAACTTCCAATCAGTCCATAACAATACATCACATATTTTTTCCTAATAAGTGTTCATTGAATGGGTTCCCTCCTCTTCTTTCTCTCCTTTAACATTGTTTAGTCGGGGCGAACAGCAGGGCAGAGGGAGAGAGGCCCAGCCTGAATGAGCGAGGGAGGCTTTGAAAATTGAAAGCAGCTGATGTCTAGCATGCTTTTCCGATGGAAATTAAAAGCTAGTATAAAGAGGAGAACTGCCAAAAAAACCCTCTCGTTTATCACGGAGCTTCCCAGCACGAATGCGTCAGTGATTCTCCAGAACCGCGGTTACTCACGAAGACTCGTAAAGTAGACCTGTGTTACGTAAGTAGAGATTTAGGACGTCTGTTAGTAGGAGCCTTTAGGAGGACGCTTTTAGGATGAAGACTGGTGGCTGTTGCACTTGTTTTCTTTTTCAGTGGTGACAGAGACGCAGGTGCGGTTTGTGAAAGGTGAGGCGTGTGTTAATATGGGTTTGATTCATTGGCAGCTATCAGGTGCTGCTTCGGAGAGGGTTTGGGTAGCAGAGAGGGCGCATGTGGTCTGGGTCAAGGCCAGTGCCGTCTGTGTTTTATGGACTTCAGGTGTGGGTACGTGTGTGTTCTGACCAGATGTGAGCTGTGGAGAGCCAACTGTACGTGTGAGTCAGTGTTTATATGAGCTCTGCTGTGTGCTTACATTGACGTGAGTTACAGTAGCCTAAATGTTATGAGTCTGCTCGTGCTTTTCATGCTTTTGAAGAGGGTCAGTCAGTTACTGACCTGGGACATTCGTCACAATACTTCACAACTGAGAGGAATAGTGTGTCCAAAAATGTACAGTTTTCCCCCGTTTACTTCTGATGTGATCAATCAGCCAGGCTGTCTTCTCCCATGGTTATCTTATCTGTCTGTCTTTCTTGTCTGTCTGTCTGTCCATTCATTTGTCTGTCTTATCTATGTCCTGTCTGTCTGTCTGTCTGTCTGTCTGTCTGTCTATCTACCTATCTGTCTGTCTTATCTGTGTCCTGTCTGTCTGTCTGTCTATCTACCTATCTATCTGTCTTATCTGTCTGTCTTCTGTCTGTCTGTCTATCTATTTATCTATCTGTCCATCTATCTATCTATCTATCTATCTATCTATCTATCTATCTTTGTGTCTGTATATCTATTTATCTGTCCATCTATCTGTCTATCTATTTATCTGTCTATATATCCATCTGTCTGTCTGTCTCTCTGTCTGTCTATCTATCTTGTCTGTCTTATCTATTTATCTATCCATCTGTCTATCTGTCCGATTGTCTTATATGTCTGCCTGCCTGTCTATCTATCTTATCTGCCTTTCTGTCTATCTCTGTCTGTCTGTCTGTCTGTCTGTCTGTCTGGCTGTCTGTCTGTCTGTCTGTCTGTCTGTCTGTCTGTCTAAATACAAAGTGCTTAAAAAATATTTTTGTGTCAATTAAATCAAGTAAACTTACCTTTAACAGTAGAATTATAAGGGACTCTTATTGTGATAGCATTGATATTCCAGCTGATCATGAGTGAAGACGAAGTGTTGGGGAAGTAATTACATTCTTAATTCTGAGACACTGTATCTACTGCTCTGTCGTGAATGAATCCACAAAAACAGATTTAACCAACTATCAGTCTAAATCAGAATAACAGCCAAGTTATTCGTCACTAAATTACAGTCATGCTCAGTGTGCAGCGTTCATGCTGCATCTGTGTTTTGTGTGAATGGTTCTTCTTGCGTGCATCGCTTTGTTTTTCTATTTAACGACATAAGCATCGGTCTGAGCTAGTTTTATGTAGCTTATGTTGGGTCACAGTGGCGAGTGAAAATCATCCCATCAGATGTGAATATTCAGACACAGAAAAATGGAAAAAACCTGTGGGCGAGATTTAGGGATCATTTGTAAATATGTGAACAAAAAGTCATTTGACTACTCAGCCCACTCGGATTAGAGCGCAACTGTGAATTCAGTCATGTCAGCTAACAGACTCATATCACTGCTGCTGGAAGAAAACCTCGAATTGTCGTTTTTCAGTTTTTGACATAATTTAAAAATGCCTGTTGCCCTTTACATTGTGTATAAATTTCACGAAGAATGGACCAAAAGAAACGGCCCAAAATTAATTGGAAAAAAGTCTGGCTCCATTGACTTACATTAAAAGTAAAGTAGGTTTTTTACTTGTCCTGTAAAATGATCATTTTGGAGATACATGGTTTTCCTCGGACAACAGTGGTATGTTGGCTAGCATGCTGAGTGATGGGGGGTGAGGGAGGACCATCCTACCCACCCAGAGCGGATGTGTGTGCTGAATTAAAATCCTGAATGTTGGCTGCTAGTGATTATCAATGACCTTTAGCCCCAAAACCTGTCCAGTTTTAACATGAAGCGAAATATTAGCTTAATGACATACGCTACACTGACTATATGATTATTAAAAAAGTTAAATCATTGATTACGTAAATATTGAAACTTGATTTTAATAGCATTTCTCCCTCGTAACACTCACACCCTTTATATTTTCTTAGGCGTGTAACATCTCCTGTGCTCTCTCTGTCCTTAGAAGCTGGGCAGCAGTATGCAGTGTGATGAAGGCACAGAGTGGCTGCTGGAGCTGCTGATGGAGGTCCAGCTGCAGCAGTACTTCCTGCGGATCCGCGATGACCTCAACGTCACACGCCTCTCGCACTTCGACTACGTGAAGAACGAGGATCTGGAGAAGATCGGCATGGGTCGGCCCGGTAAGATACCCTCTGACTGACTGTGAGGTGTGAGTGAGTGACGTTTGTGAGAATACGTGTCCACCTATGTGTCCAAAAGTTTGTGGACACCTGCTCATTCAGGGTTTCTTCTGAAATGAAGGGTATTAATAGGCAGGTTTTCCCCCTTTGCTGCAGTAACAGCCACTACTCTTCTGGAAGGGCTCTACACTAGATCTTGGAACATTGCTGTGAGGAATTGATTGCATTCAGCCACACTTATTATGAATAATTGAACATTATATAAGAATAGAAGAAACTCATAGCATGTTTCACTTTAATAATCAGATGGAAAAATAGATTCTTATTCTTATTATCGGTGGTGGTAGTAGTAGTAGAAATATTATTATTATTATTATTATTATTATTATTATTATTATTGCTAGGTTGATTTTTTTGTATATTGCATAGATTTAATTCTTTTTTTTTTCTTTCTAGCATTTAGTTTGATAAACAAAAGTTTGTTTCCCATCGGACTGAAATGAAAGAATGCTCAGAAGCGTGTGGTTTCATAAAAAATGAACTATAAGTATCAGTTACTCAAATGGCTTTGGAGTTTTTTGCACATTTCAGTTATCGAATCTCTCTCATTTTACCCAGTATTCATTGCAGCTTTAGCACCAATGTTGGATGATCAGTTCTGCATCACAAACATTACTCAGACTCCTCCCAAAGGTATTGGATGGAGCTTCATCACTGCAGAGAACGCAGTTCCACTGCTCCACAGTCCAGTGCTGGGGGGCTTCATACCCCTTTACCTAACGTACGGCAATGGGCATGATGACCTCACGCTCTTATACAGCTACTCCAGAGCATCCCATTCTTTTTAATGGAGATTATACAAGCTGTGTAATTGAGCCTCTGTGTCAGCAAAGGGTGCATCTTAAAGTACCTGAACTCCCTGGATGCTTTTGGACCGACAGTGTATAACTGGCTTAGCATTTGGAGCACAGAACTGACATATTAGGCTGTATTGCTCTCACCAAATACTCCCCAGCTGCTTTTTTCTACTCTCTTTATCTGAACATGGAAAAAACACCCTTAATTACTTTGCGTGATGTCTGTCAAACCACCTTTATCGACGTTCAGTCTGTTTTTCCTTCACAGCTTTGAATCTGAATGCAGGGATTAGATTAAACCGAATCTCTTCATTCAGTTCATTCATGCATTCAACAACTCCAAACTCCGCTTCATATTAACCTCCCATTACTGTAACTAATTTAGGGCTTATGCTAACCCGACTGGCTGTAATTCTCCTTTAAAACGTGTTAATATTTCCCTCCCGGCCCCAGAACGCCACACACGGCTTCTGGCATCCTGCCAGGCCCTAATCAGCGCGGCCCTTCCACTTCGAGAGCATGCATCTTTGTGTGAAGCGTGCGGGGTAAATGCGGTTAATGGGATTTCCCTTAAAGCCGCCTGTTCATCTTAAGCCCATCAAGTGGTCCGTCGCGCTTTCCTCACATTCTCGTCACTCTCCGGCCTGCAGCTGCAGGCTCTTCCTTTTTTGGAGGTCGTCTTTTCTTGGGTGAGGATTGTTTCTCTCGCCAGTGCACACTCCTTAGCCGAGAGGGCCCGTGTCATGAAAAGCAAACTTTCCTCGAAACAGGAGTTTGATGTATTATGTAAATGTTGCTAGTTTATCCCGTTCACTTCTCGTACAGCCATGTAGAGTAATTAAGCTGAAAAAACAGCCCGTTTTGAATCCACTGTTTTTGTGATGTCATAAAAACATTGCATTTACATGAAGTGTTGTACAAATGTTTTTTACTCACTTGAGAAAATTATATTTAAGGAGCAGTTTATCTGGGTAGTAGGCACTTATTTACTTAGAAAACACTAATATTACAATAAATACAGACAATGCAGGTTTATTTATAGCACCTTTCATACACCGCGGCCAATCACAGTGCTTTACAAATGAAGAAATACGAAGATAATTCAAATTATAATTTAAAAAGTAAAAAAGTAAGGGAGAATAGAAATTAAAAACATGATTAAAACAATAGATTTTTATACAGAGAATAATAAAGAAGGGAGAATAATAGAGAAAAATCGTTCAAATTACAAATTAGATTAAAAATGAATTAGAATAATGAGGTTCCATTAGAGGAGAGAAGTGCAGTAGAGCTACCAGTGCTTTAAATTGAGCTGAAACCTGCCTGGATTTAAAGTGTCCAGTGTCAGGGCTCTTCTAATGCTCTCTGTCAACTGGTTCCATTTAAGAGCAGCATAGTAGCCAAACGCTGTTACTCCATGTTTAGTCTTTACCTTCAGCAGCTGACTAGTTCCTAATGATCTGAGAGTTCTGCTTGGCTCATATCGCTGCAGCATATGACATAAATATGCTGCTCCTGCACTACTGAGTGATTTATAGACCAGAAATAGTATCTTAAAGTCTATTCTGTAACAGAATGATGGCCAGTGTAAGGATTTAAGAATGGGGGGGTGATGTGTTGCTTCTTTTACTCCTGGTGAGACTCTGGCAGCTGCATTCTGAATCAGCTGAAGCTCTTTTGGTTTTTTTGGGAGTCCAGTTAGGAGACCATTACAGTACTCAATCCTGCTAGAAATAAAGGTGTGGAGTTTCTCCAGGTGTGCTTTAGTGAGAAAATCTCTAATCTTGTTAATGTTCTTAAGGTGATAAAAGGCTGCTTTGGCATTACTGCTAATACTGAGAGCCCATCAGTCCATTGGTTTGTCCATTGTTACACCAAGGTTATGTCCTAGTTCTTTAGATTTTAAGGCTCTTGAATCCATATAGGCAGCTAGTATGTGCCTCTCATTGCTGTTCACGAATAAAATAATCTAGTTTTATCTTCATTCAACTGCCGAAGGTTTTGTCGCATCCAGTTAGTGATGTGCTCAATGTACTTACAAAGTGAGTCAAGGGGACCATAGTTGTTTGGGAAGAAGTCCAAGTAAATCTGAGTATCATCTGCATATCTGTGGTATGATATCTCATAGTCTTGTAGGATTTGGCCAAGAGGAAACATGTATAAATTAAATAAGAGTGGCCCTAGAATTGAACCCTGGGGAGCACCACAGGTCAATGGCACTCTCTCAGAAACATTAAATTAAAGAAAATATAAATAATCTAAATACAGTAGGTAATTATTTTACATATGTCAATATTTAAGCATTTTTAAACCTCTCCTTGTGGAAGCTCAGTATTATTTGTATTTGTCCTTCAGTACCTGGTTTGGTTAATCAGTGCTTCATTAAATTAAATCAAGTGTGCTGGTGATGGAATTTAACCCCTTAAAATCCCAGGCCTATTACATACTAAGGCTTATTTTTCAGTAACTGTAGGGACTTCAGTGCAAACTGGTTGAGCTATTCACCCATTCACTGAAGTTATGAGGAATGTTTCAGCTTGTACTGGGAATGAGGGTCAATACAGGGCAATCAGAACAGGGGTCAAAGTTAGCAAACTAGCTATCTAGATAGCTTACTTCAGTTTGGTTTCTTTTCTCTGGCTGAAGGGGTTAAAAACTTGATGAATTTTCATAGAATCACTATTTTCTTTACAATTTCTTTACAACCAAGATAAAAGTTACACTAATGCTAGCTTGGTTGTGTTTATTAACCTGAACCTCACGCAGTCTAGATTAGTTGACACCACAGGGATTCCCAAAGGTGATATTATGTATTTGAGTAATGTGTGCTGGGTATTGTAGTGAGAGATGATAGAAAACATGAAAATAATATAAAATCATGTATTCTGTGAAAGTGATGAGGTGCTGAGCTACAGAATCCTGCACAACACAACGTATAACATTTAACATAACTCTGTTTTTAGGCCAGAGTGCCCCTTTAAAGGCACATAACGGTAACTGCTTGGGATAAAAAGAGGTTGGAAAATGGTCTTGTGAAACTGAATTATGTCTATCATATGATTATATGTAGATAATTATGTAATGAATATTGAACATATAGTAAAAAAGGTCAAGTCAAACCACAGAGAACAGTACAAATAGCGGAGCGAGACGTTTATAATAAGACTATGTAAATCATTCTCTTTTGCTTTCTTTCTTCATTCTTTTTTTTCCAGGGCAGAGAAGGCTGTGGGAGGCAGTAAAGAGGAGGAAAGCGATGTGCAAGCGCAAGTCCTGGATGAGTAAGGTACAGCAGGAAGCTTCCGGAGCATACGCTCACACACTGACAGATTTACGAGGCCTCTGGTTTGAGGTCGCCTCACACATATACAGAAGCCTCGTTCTGTTATACTCTCAGGTATACTGCAGGGTTTTTATGTTTTGCTGACTCTTAGGCTCCTCTGGGGCCATTTTCGTTCACTCAGCACTAAAACTGCTAAATCTATCAACTGTTTATTCCTGAAGTAGCAGTAAATTAAGGCAACTGGATTTGTGGTTTAATCTTTAAAGTGCCCATATCATGGAAAACCACAAAAAAAAAAAGAGTTTTAAAAATGTTGAGGTTTCAACATATACCAGTATATATTGTCACTGTTGGAAAAAAAAACAACGCATAACTTTTTTAACAGTATGTCAGTGTAAAAAGATTCATTCTTTCATTATACATTTTAAAACAGTGTAAAAAGCAGCTGATATTTTCCAGTTGCGTAAAAAAATATTGAGATACAAGGTTTGGTTCTGACAGCGATGATATGAAAATTAAGCAAGCTTTTGAATGAATTGTTTTTGTGAGGTCACAAATGCATTTACATTCATCTGCCTTTTCAACCTAGAGTAGTTTAGCCCCACTGATGCACACTGAGGTTGAAGGGCAGCCAACAACAGGGACTTGGGAAGTGGGGGTGTCGAGGGGGCTGCAGTATACCCAGATTTCAGAATTGTTTAACTGCATCTGCTAAAAATGCTTAAAAATAACTTTACAATAACTTTTGTTTCTGTTTTACTTTCATTATACTGAGCTGATTCACCACTGGCCACTTTGGGGGGTGTCGCTAGAAACACCTCGTATTAACAATCTGATTGGTCACTGCTTGGCTTGTTCGCATAAAGTTTGTCCAGTACAGTTTGACGTGTCAAGTTTTTGTGTGTACTGGCATCTCTCGCCATGTTTTAGCACACTGTCTGTATTGCAAATTGCCATATAATTTTACATGACATAACTATATACGTTCCATAAATGCTGCTTAAAATCCCCCCCAACTTAAAACACCCTCCCGTGTGTTTACATGCTATGTCAAACGCTGCTATTTCAAAAAAGCGAGAAAATTTGGTTTTCCATGGTAACTGAAAAACGGGTCATTTACATATACCAGCCTTAAAAACACAGTAAAAAAAGTCTTGTTTGTAAGGGATAAAGAGAGGTTGGAAAATGGTCATGTAAAAATGAATTTCTTTGGTACATAAACCCAGTCAATCATCATAAGTGGATCTCAGGATAAAAATTCGAGTCTCATTAATTTGCCACTACTAAATAATTCACCTCATCTCAACTTTTTTTTTTTCTTGTTCTGAAACATTTTCCTAAAACTGGCTTTTTTACTCTCCATAGTTTCAACACTAAAAAGCTAACAGTAGCTGACTCTATTAATCATCCATCTGCTTTGTGTTGTTGCAAGTGAATGGCTAGATTCCTTCTCCCCTCCTGTCTAAAAGGCACAAGACATTGCTACCCATTGTAGCTTTGACTGCTAATACCAGGCTGAGGATCAGAACAGCCTAATTTTTTTTTTTTTCGTGAAAATATCTAGTTTTATCACTGAGGCCTATTTTCCCCTGTACTCTGAGGAGCTACGCCTTCTCCCTTGCCCTTTTTTTTTGCCCCAGCATCATTGCTAATGCGACTAATGAGTCAGATGTGGGCAGCTTATTAAGGCCGGAAGCTTCCAATCAGCCCCGAGGCCAACATCTAACCCAAACCCAGCTGAAATCTGTCTCTAACCAGGTTAGCGTCCCTTCAAACACAGCAGGAGGAGATGCAATTGGGCCTCGGACACGAGCGAGCCAGAAGCATAATGCCGTCCATTCTCTGGAGCATGTGTGTTTTTGTGCTTGTTTATGTGTGGACAGACGCGGAGTCCATGGGAAATGAGGTTAGCTGTCCCGTGAGCCAGACCGAGATGGACACAGCACATTCCTAAGCGATGCACTTCAGCCAGAGAGCTTGCACGCTGACGAGCACTTCAACACTAGAACCGCCATCAACCATATTTTTTATAATCAAGTACTACAGTGATTTTTAGTACAGTAGTTCTTGCTACCCTGCATATTTTGGTGATTTCCCTGCTTATAGCGGAGCTGGCCAGGTCATTATCAAGCCCTTCCTTAACCTAAAAGTTATTGTTTTAGGTGAATTAAAACATGGAAAACAACAAAATGTAATACATACAAGTTAGGAATTTTTAATAAAAGGTTAATTTCATAGGAAATTCAAGCTTGTTGTATTTAAACTCTGCATGTACTCTAGTAGTACTCGGTTGTTTTGGTTGGAAACAACAGGGTTAAATTGGCCAGTCAGGATTTTGTTTTTCCTCCCATGGTATCCAGGTTAATACAGTCAAGCGAGCTCTCCCGTTGGTTAGGACTTCAGGAGCTGTCCTGAAGGCCTTACACATGAGATTAACTACCAACATAACTAGGAAGTGAGAGCAATTTTGTGAGAAAAATGTTATTCTAGGCCAGGAGTCGGCAACCCAAATGTTAAGAGGAGCCATTTTGTCCTTTCAACAAAAATCAAACCACCTTGGGAGCCACAACATTTCATGTCCATTTTACTATCTTGGCTGTAAATATGTCTCAGTATGTGCTGATGTACTAGTATAGAATAAAAACATAATGTAAATGAAAATACAGACTTACTTTACTCTGCTTTAAGTTTTAGCTCAGCAATAGCTGCTTTTCTCACATCTCCAGCAGGAAACTTTTCCACAAAAGTAGAACAGTTTCTTGTAAAACATCTCTCAACGTTCGATTTTTATGAGACTGAAGTCGCTTCTCATTCACTAGCTTCTTGTTCTAATTTTCCCGCCAAAATGTAACTGCTACGCCATTTAAGGTGGAACGGGACAATTCGAATGAGAAACTGGCGAACGAGAAACTGACTACAGCTTTGCGACTTTTTAGTGTTTGACAGTTTCTCGCTGCAGATTAAACATATCAGGAAAGCAGCTGAGTGATTATAAATGCAAAGTCCATTCATCTCCAAATTACTCATGTTCGTCTTAAATCCTTCTCTTTGCCGTTTCATTAGCAACTAGCTAGGTGAGGTTGTTGTCGTTGCTATGGGGATCAGCAGTCTATGCGCCTGTCTTCAGGGTTAAAGGCCGACTTAGCAGTTACACATTAACTCTGGCGTTTAAGACCATTTCTTGTTAAACTGTGTTGAACGATCAGCAGAGCTTTATTTTACTGCAAAGGAGGCTTATTTTATTTTTACCTAAAAATCTAATTCTGCTGTGGCGGCGCAACAGGACAGTAAGAGACGCAAGTTGCCGACCCCTGATCTGGGCCTTCTGGAAGTTGTAGATACATGACTGACTGAATATGTGCTGTAATACACAAGAAATAGAAAATAGTGGCAGTTTTATGTCAGGGCCCTTTACCGAAAGAGTCACTGTAAAACTGTGACATACAAGAAAAAATATATGTGAATGTCTGTTTCAAGCTTCAAATAAAACATACAAATTGTCTCTCATAAGCTTTAAATGTCAGTTTAACCTAAAAAAAAGATTGTGCACCAGCTTTAGCTTAACACTAACATACTATTAAAATCCCATAGGGGTGCTGGCAGAAAGGAGTGTTATCATAGAGGTGTGTATTTCCTTGTTTTATGACTGAGTTTTGAGATTTATTGGCTCGGACTGAAGGCCTAGCTCTAATAATCACCGTTCACACTGGTGAAAACCACTAATACATACTTAATACCAATCAATATCACTGAATTAAAGTATTGATTATTATTCAATTAATCAGCATATCAAGCCATTATGTCTTCTTTGGTTGCTTTGGTTTCTTCTTTTATGATGTGGCAAAACAGAATAGTGTCAGAACTGTTTGAATGGACCAATAGAATTACTTGGAATAAAATCTTATGTTAAAATATATTAAAGTTAACTTAAATTTCCAGGCTTATTACATCATAAGGCTCATTATACTGTAATCACAAGCAGAAAGACCTCAGATCAGATATTGTGTGATGCTACACTCTTAAAAAGATGGTTCTTCAAGGGTTCTTTAGTAAAGAAAATGGTTCTACATAGAACCATGAACTCTCAAAGAACCCTTTGCATGATTAAAGAGTTCTTTGCGTCATGAAATGATTCTTCAGATTGATGGAGAATGTGTTTTATATGGTTCTATATACATCTTTTTGAAAAGGGTTCTGTATAGCACCAAACAGGGTTCTTCTATTGTTTCGATGTCAAGGCTGTAACAATAGAAAAACCCTTTGTGGAGCTATATAGAACCATTTTCTTTACTAAGGAACCCTTACAGAACCATCTTTTTGAAGAGTGTATGGCGAAGTCTCCAAAGTGTAACGTGATTAAAGGGTTCTGTGCGTCGTGAGAGGTTCTTCAGATTGATGGGGAATGTGTTTTATATGGTTCTATATAGAACCTTTTTGAAAAGGGGTCTATATAGTACCAAAAAGGATTCTTCTATTGTTTTGATGTCAAGGCTGTAACAATAGAAGAACCCTTGTGGTGCTATATAGAACCCTTTTTAAAAAATGTTCTATATAGAACCATTTTCTTCACTAAAGAACCATCAAAGAACCATCTTTTTAAAGAGTGTGTGGCAAAGTCTCCAAAGTATAACGTGTGTTTTTCATTATTTCTGCCCGTTTTTCAGGGGAAATGTGAGGACAGGCTTTGCTAACCTCAGTGTGACGCAGCAGCTGCAGAGTTAGACGCTCTGCAGTCTGAGGGACATTTGATAGTTTGGTTTGGGCCTCGGTCAGCGTTTGTTTTTCCTGGGCTGAGCTGGTGTAGTAATGGTAATAGTGACCTATGATTTCAGCGCTTTAGGAGCAGAGGAATTAGACAGTAGCCGCAGTCAGTGCGGTAATACCAGAAACAGCCACACACTGGTCCACCCTGCTCTTCTTATAGCACCGCTACACACTGTGTGTGTGTGTGTTATGGCTCATTTATAGCTGTTTGTGTGTTTGTGGGCATTACTGGGTGATGATTTATTGTGGGTTAAAGTTTATGCTTTGCGTCTCGTTTTAGCTTTGTGCTTGTTTTTGTATGTTTTCAGGAGAAATATTCTGACTCTGTAGAAAACTAGAGAAAAACACAGATAATCTATGAAGCAGTCCTGAGTTTATTAAGGGCTTTTTGACAAAAGCTCCATGTTTTATTTCCCAAAAAAAGTCAAATCTTCCACAAAACAATGCTTTCCAGTCAATACGCCTATTAAGCTGATGTCATTCATTTTCAGGAGATATTTCTGGGGAGATTAGACATAAGATACTTGCATAGAGAAAGAGAAAGTCAAGGGAAAATAAGTGAAAAAACAGGAGCTTCCAAAACTGCAGTTCAAATATAATTAAAATCTACAGAGAAAATGGGGCTCCTAACAAACACCTGGAAGACCTGGTAGACACCAAAACTGCCCCCATCAGATAAACAGCACTTAAAGCTTTCATCTTTGAGAGAGAGGAGAAAATCAAGCTGCTTCAGATCTGAAAACATCCACAGGTGTTTCTGTCCATCCTTCCACTGTGAGAAGACGACTCGGCGCTATGAGTCTGAAAGGATGTGTAGCTGATCAAGAAGAACCTCACTGAGAAAAGGAGACGGACACATCAAACAAAGAAGCTGAACAATGGACTGACCACCCCAGAGTCCAGACCTCAACGTCACTGAATGTGTTTGATTACTTCAGAAAATGATCAACCAGCTTCTAAGACTGAACTTTGGAGGTGTGTCTGCAGATTCTTTGAGAAACTGAAAGTGAGACTCCTGAAAAGAACAGAAACTGTTGTATTTAGAGGCTCTGTGTAATTTTCTGTTGAATATATTTCCTGCTGAAAGTTTAATAACTTGTACTTGATGGTTGTTTTGACTGGAAATTAAGTAAATGAAGGTTGGACTCTGACTTTTGCACAGTACTGTTTATGCAAGTACCTGTATGTAATGACAATAGATTCCATATGTATTATATACATGTGAGTATGAGTAATAATGTTCCACTTGTATAGATTACAATACCTATGGGACATAAGAATGTCCTGACGCTGAAGGAAAACCAGGTCTGTGTACGTGTTTAAGTAGGGGGATTTGAAAGCCCACAGAATGACTCAGACTGCCTGCCCTGGTCAGTTTAACTTTCCACATCATTAATCTCCCACTTCCACTTATATTTAAAGAGAGAGAGAGAGGGTGAGGGTGGGGGTTGGGGAGGAGGTTCAGGTCTCATTTATATAATTGTACATGCATTCCGGGCTGCTGCTGTGTGTGTGTGTGTGTGTGTGTGTGTGTGTGTGGAATTGGTTTTGGGGAGATGTTTACTCTCAGAAAGTGGACTGTAAGCATTCCTCTCTCTGTGGGATGAGGGAACGCGTTGACCCGTCACACCAGAAATCAAACGTCCACGTAAACAAGAAGAATGTACACCCACAGCAATACACACATATACAAACACAGACACACACACACATATATGCACAACACACATCACACATCATAACAACCCACACAGCAAAAAGATTTAGCTTGATTTACACACTACACAACACACACACAGACAAACAGATATCTCACATCATAACTACCAACACAGCCAAGAAACTGAGCTCTGTATACACACACACACACACACACACTCAACAAACCTCCATCTCACATCATAACTACCAACACAGCAAAAAAATTGAGCTTGAGCACACACACACACACACACACTACACAACACACACATAGACATCACACATCATAGCTACCAAGACAGCAAAAAAGAAATGAGCTTGATGCCCACACACACACACACACACACACACACTACACACACTACACAACACACACATAGACATCACACATCATAACTACCAACACAGCAAAGAAACTGAGCTCTGTATACACACACACACACACACACACACACACACACACACACAGCGCACATACACCACACATCCCATCTACCAATGTTCTAACCCTAACCTCAGTAACAGTAAAATGTTTTGTTGAGTGAACTGTGGAGCTTTTATTAAAGCTCTTTACAAAGTCAGGGCTGTCTTACTGTTTATCTCTGGTTTTCTCAAAGTGATCAGTGTTTTTCCTAAACATGTACAAAAACAAGCACACACATACACCAGGTATCAGACCTCTTGGCATGTTTCTACACACTTATTTGAGGGGTGATGCAACAGGCACACTCTCTCTCCAGTGCTCTATCTGATTTGTGTGGTCACTGTGGTCAGTGGTAGAGCTCCTGAATGTGCTGGCCGGAGGCTGCAGGAAGTGTGATGAGAGTTTCCTAAAATTACACTCATTTATTTCAGTCCTGGAAACAAACACAGAGCAGCTAACCCAACTAACCCCCCTCTCAACACTGTGAGTGTGTGCGTGAGTGTACATGCGCATATGTATGTATGTGTGCGTGTGAGAGTGAGAGAGAGTGAGAGAGTGTGTGTGTGTGTGTGTGTGTGTGCGTGCATATCTAGATACATCTCTGTCTCTATATTTTTCTTTCAGACCTAAAAACAACCTAAAAACTATAAAATAAACATAACCTACATGTAAATAAAATCATGCAGTTACATGATGTATTTATTAGTCTGGAGTGTGTGTGTGTGTGTGTGTGTGTGTGTGTGTGTGTGTGTGTGTGGGTGGGTGGGGTCAAGGCTGAGGCTGTCCGTCTGTGCGTCTTTCACATTCTGTCAGGATCCTGTTCTCTCTGCCCTTCTATTTCTGTCTGTCTGTCTGTCTGTCTGTCAAGGCTGCAGCAATCCAGAGTCTCAGAGCTGCTGTTAGCTTTTTTCTTTACACACACACACACACACACACACACACACACACACACACACACACGTGTTGGTGGTGTAATATTTGTGAGGACTTCCATTGACTTCTGTGTTACTCAGAGTGGTTTGATATGAAACGGTTATTTGTACAGAACCTCAGATTTCTTTACAGTGGTGGTGATGGGAACCAGGGGTCATAATATCTACAGCACTACAATCTACAATATAGACATTTTTTTTACTATCCAAAACCTCCAGTGAACCTACACGTGTCTTCTGAGCTTTCATATATAATGTTGTTGATGATAAAATAGTGGAAAATCTGAAAAAACTAAAAAATCTTTGTGGACTGTTTTGCCTCACAACACCCTGCATGTACCCCTCCACCCTGAATGGATTAAAAAGGGCAAAACCTTATCAAAATGATCACAAACAGTGTCTCAGGCTTCAGGTAGCGCTTACATTTCATTTCCATTAGTAAATTTCTGTAAGAGAGATTTAAGAGGCATTTAACGTTTCAGACATTTGATCACCAGCACTGTGAGAGAGACAGAAAGCTGTAGTGTTTCACTGTGTTTTCAATGCATTTGGCTGTACATTTGAACTTTAACTTGAACATCACTGTCATGAAAAACGGAAAACGGCAAAAGACGCTTTGCTTTTTGTAACACAAAAGCAAAATGGTTCGTCCTATAACTCTCTCTGTTCTCTCCATCAGGTGTTCAGTGGGAAGAGGCCAGATGGAGATTTCCAGCCTCAGCCGGCCAGCACCTTCCGGAAACTGTCCCCGACGCCCCCCGCGGATGGCCAACCGCAGGCCCTCACCTGCCTGATCAGTGAGAAGGAGCTGGAGCTGTGCGAGAAACTGGGCGATGGATCCTTCGGCGTGGTGAAGAGAGGAGAGTGGTTCACCCCCACCGGAAAAGTGGTGAGAGAGAGAGAGAGAGAGAGAGAGACTGTGTTAGGAAAACAGAGGACGCTTTGTTAAGGGCCATCAGGGGCCAGCCGTGACTGACTTTGCAGATGCACAATACAGACACCATTCACACGCTGGGGCCGGCGCGAGCTGCTTAAAGTGTGAATGGCAGCGAGTGAATGGTGAGGAAGCAGTGGGAAAGTGACAGCAGGCTGCGGCGAGGCCTGTCACCATCATGAAATTTCAGCTGACGATTAACTACTGCATAAATAATTGTGATAAACAGTTTGATCTTTTTTTTTTTTTGGTTGCATGTAACTGCAGTGACCCGATTTGCGCATTTGGGCACGTTTAACCATTTAATGGGCCCATATGATACATTATTCTTGTAATTTATCTTTTTCTCGAAAACATATTGTAATCTGATCAGTCAAATGAACTTCAGAGGTGGTCAGGGATGCGTATGACTAGATGATGTGTAGTGTGAATGCCCAGTATCCCAATGCCTCCCTGTTATGACCCCGCAGGCAATCCAGGGGACAATGGGGTCAATAACATATGATTTACAATGTGAAGTGTGGAGAACGAACCAGGAAGGAACAAGACACACAACGGTTTCTGGCTTTTACTGTTCAATGCACTCAAAGTTACAATAATGTGAGGGCCGCAGTGAGACCACCAAGAATATGATTATTTACAATATTAACAATATTTACAAAAAGGCAGTTATACCTGCTGCTAAATTGAATGGGAGTCTGGACCTGAACTGCGCTAAAGGAAAGAAAAACTAACTAACCTAGCTCTTTAAGTCCTTACCCAACAGCAAAACAAAAGAGCCATTTACTCTGTTCTTACCTGTTACCAAAAAAATAAATAAATACCAAGATTGGCACCCTTACCTGAGGTATCTATACAGTGGGTTACTTGTGGAGGAAAATTACTGAACATATCTATTTTCTATTTTTTTTAATGTAACACAGGGGGTTGCAATGAGGGGAAAATGCAGACACGTGTTTTAAGATCAAAGATTAAGAGAAAAAGATTTTCTCTTAATCCGCATTTAACCCATCTATGCAGTGAAACACCACATACACACTAGTGAACACACACACTAGAGGGCAGTGAGCACACTTGCCCGGAGCGGTGGGCAGCCTATCCACTGTGCCCGAGGAGCAGTTGTGGGTTAGGTGCTTTGCTCAAGGGCACTTCAGTCATGTACTGTCGGCTCAGGGGATCAAAGGGCTGGTTCCCTAACCTCCAGCACGTGACTGCCCAAATAAATTACGCTTTGATATAAACTTCACTCAATCCGTTTTTCTCCCTTCAAATTTTCACTGACTATAGGCAAAAAGGTCAATTAATTTTTTTTTTCATCTTTTGGTACTCTCTAATTTTTTTGATTTTATTATTTATTATTCTATTTAATATATAACATTTTATTAGTACTTTTTTGTTGTTAACCTCTAAGAATAAAATTTTTTTGGTTCCCTGTATTTTTTTTTATTTAAAAAGTGGTGTTGTCGTTAGCTTCTGAAAAGTTGTCTGAAAGTCTAAAACCCCTCATGCTACCCATTCCAGAATATAAATAAATAGGATGCGGAGAGGTGAAGCTGCTAGTCGAAGCATCTCATTAGCAATCCATGCTGTTGAAATGTTTGTAACAGCCTGTACCTTTACACAAACAAGGCCATTCTGTTGGACAGCAAATGCAGCAAGAGACAAAGACATGGTAAATGTGCAAGATACCCCTCCTCCACTCACAAAACCCGATCATAAGCGGTCACCAGAGACGAATTCAAGGCTCATGGAAACTCCAGGTGTAAACAACAGTCTCACTGTCCACTTGTGGTCAGATCATTCAAGAAATAGTGCAGAGCCTGTGGCCTGTATTTTATATTTTATTTCATTTTTTGTGTTCATTTTCGCTTTTCACAAACCCGTTTGGTCAGGCACATATTTTTTTGCCAAACTTTCATTTTTAGCCCCCATTCGTACTGCCCAGTTAGTCCAATATTGGCCATCCTCTCAAATGCGAACGTCCTCTCTTCAAGCCGCTGTGTGTTGCTGGGGCAGCTGGGTTCCCCAGGCTGACTGCTGGGAGAACAGAGGGCTTGAAAGGCCTGATTGAGGGTCAGCGGTCGTGCGAAATGAGCTGGGGGTTGTATGTGTGCACAGCAGGGGATAGAGCATCATTCTCCAGGCCATCTGCACCGGTCAGCATTTGCACCCGTGAGAGATAGACGAAGGGAATAGGATAGCTCTGGCCTGTGTTATAGATTCCTGCAGCTTAGCTGATCCAAAACTGTTCTGCACATAAATCTCACCTTCATTAAGGCAGATCATGTTTTGGCATTTACGAGAAATATTTTACAACATGGAATACAATGTCCATGTGCGAGACAGAACTGTCACGCTGGGAATAATGTTACTCGGCTCAGAAGCCAGCAACAGTGTTAAAGAAGCCCCCTGTGGGGATCATCAGCATTTTTGTGGGATTTTGAGCTATACTGGTCATTCCAGCTGCAAGGAGAACTCTCCAGTCCGGTCAGGTTTTGTTTCAGCCTCGTTCAGGTTCAAGCCTGTCTCGCTTTCACTTGCTCCCCATTGCCTCTCTGGCCTAAAACTAACATTTACTATGTTATTTGTCGTTTAATATTCAGTAGCGCAGCATGCCATATGCTAAATACATTAAACTGGGCCATTTTTGAGTATTTAAATATATGCCCATATATGCAAGCATAGGCCAGTGTATTGAAATATGTTCACATGTCGATGAAATCAACGTAATATTGTCAGTTGTTAATATTTCCAGTCAAGTCAAGTCAGGCTTGATTTGTCATTTCAGCTATATACAAGTACACAATGAAACGAAACCTCCAGGACCAACACAGGAACAAGTGCAAGACAATACAATATACACAGTGCAGACAATACAGTACAATAAATAAATACAAAGACAATAAATACAAAACAGAGCACAGGCAGTAAACGGTACTGAGAGTATGTGGAGCTGTGCAAAGGAGGAAGTAACATACTATGACATATTAGCAGATAGCCTAGCTTGTATGAGCATAGCATCACTGAGGTAGCAACCAGAACAGCAATATACAGTATACAGTATTTGGTTGATACAGTAATTCTAGCAGCTGTGTTTGGTATATATTTACATATACATATGGAAATATTTTGGAAACTTGACACGTTTTGAAAAATACATGGAAATATATATGCATATGGGATTGCATCCCCCCATCCTCATCGGTTTGGCAGAATTCACATTTTTTTTTGTTTTGTCATTTATCAGCGTTCTCTCACTACAATACCCAGCATGCATTATGCACAACCAGTGAGAATTCTCCCCAACAGTGAGATAAAAAATCCACTAATGTTATAGTCAAGACTGCTAGATTGGATGTATGGATGTATGTATAATATGATATATAGCCTAAAGCAGGGGTGTCAATCTCAACCACTAAAGGGCCATATGAAAAAAATCTTAACAAATCTGTGGGCCAGCTGTGGTTTTTAATTTTTACTTTACGTTTTACTGTGACCTGAACGCGCCATTGTTTATTCACAATAAGCCAAAACTACGATGGCAAAAAAGGCGCTGATTGCTTGAACGATTCAAAAATAATTTTAAATAAAAACAAATTGTTTTATATGAAACAATAGACCACATTATTAGCCATGGATAACGGTGAAACCTCTTTAAATTTCCCCAGTGTACAGTAGGTTTTTTTAAAACTGCCCATTCGCTTGAACTGGACCCATAGAATCTTTTGTGTTTGTTTTTTTCTGGTGCTGTCCCATAGATCGCTCTTAGGGAGGGGGTGGGAGCACACATTACGTTGCAGTGCATGATGGGAACTGTAGTGCAGCTCATGGTGAAATGGGCTAATATTAATAGAAAAGACTGCTTGTTTATGGTCTTGAGGCTGGTTGCAAGACAGAGACCGGACTCGGGTACTACAACACTAGTAGAGGCTAATTAATGCAGATACAATATTATAAATAAATTTATTTATTTAACCAGCTAAATAAATTCAAACAGTACAGTTATTGCTTTCAAAAGTTCTTCCAGCTTTCAAGATGCATCACCAGAAAGGGGTGTTCTAGTCTTTAAACCAGGAGATCTCATGTTACAGACTACTGCAGCGCCCCCGTAAGGCAAGAAGGCATGTTTACAACAAATGTAGCGATGAGACGAGTGTCCCTTTAAAGGGTTAATATTTTGACTTTTTTGAGGATTTTATCCCCCCTCCCCTATGCAGAAGTTTTTTTTGTTTTTTTTTTATATTAAAAAACAGTTGTAATTCATTTTTGCATGACCATCTTCAAACCTCTCCCTACAGACTCTTTAAATAGGCTGTGCATTAAATCAAATGCTATGTGTAAATGACATCTGTTCTCGTTGGCTGACCCCTTCACAAGTGAAATTAGGCACCAAAACCAGTCCGGGCTGAAACATACAGAACAGACTGTTTGTACTGAAGTCCTCAGGGATGTCAGTGTGAATGGGTGGGGCTAAACTGCTGTAGTGTAAATGGGCAGTCATTTATGAGTGATGAACAAAGCATTGGTGATCTTAGTCTAATCTCTTTTTGTCTCACTCTTTCCTCTCTCGTCCATGTGCTTCTCGGCAGCTGAATGTGGCAGTAAAGTGTCTGAAGACGGACGTGCTGAGCCAGCCGGACGCTCTGGATGACTTCATCCGTGAGGTCAACGCCATGCACTCTCTGGACCACCAGAACCTGATCCGCCTTTACGGAGTCGTCCTCACGCACCCCATGAAGATGGTAAATGAGCAGAGTGTGTGTGTGTGTGTGCAGAACAAAAGTATCAGCCGATAAAATTTTATGTAGTAACAGTTGATCAGTTTGAATTAGGGATGCAGATTTTGGCAAATTCTGTTGACCAGTAACCGACCGTCATTAGTTGGTGATTAACTGATAACCGACAAGCCTAAAATCAATGACCCAGCTCATCAAAATATCGATTATAAAATAGAAACGTCCAGATCTAAAAGCTGAACCATCTTCAAAGCCAGTAGCCATGTTTACACACAGCCTGATAATCCGTTAATAATCCGACTAATGGCTCAATCAGAATAGAATACGTCCACGTATACCCCTCAGTCGGAGTAGACTAGTCCGATTTAGGCCATTCGGAATACCGTTTCTTTCCGATTGAACGAGGTGGGTAATCCTGTAAATAACCTGTTAAATAGCAGAAGAATAACCATGTAAACACCTGAATCTGATTACATTTAAGTACGTTCTATACGCATGTGTGTTTGCATCATAGTGAAAGTTTATAACGTTCAACATGGCGGAGCAGAAACTGGAAGTTTATGCTTTGAACTTTAAAAGACGGTGGTGGGACGGGCGTCCAGCTTATGTGTCAGAACATGATGTCTGGATGATTACTTGCAGTGCGCATGTAAACGGAAATTTTCCATCAGATTGTTTAGTAGAAAGCATATGAACACCTCAGTCTTATTCTGTAATCAGAGTGAATTCAATCTGACTGGAAGAAATCTTTGCATGTAAACACAGCCAGTGTAAAGTACGTGATAGTAGGTACACCTATGAGTGTATGAATGACCGGGGCAGCTTTGGCTCAGTGTACTTCACTAGCTTTGAAAGCCATCAGGGTCCTTTTGTATAATTTTGATGTGTTAATTAAAATATGTTCCCCTGAGATGAATGCATTGGTTAAACCATTGTTTATTTGTTGGTTAATGGTTCATTGGTTAATTGTTTAGATCTCTAGTGGACAGTAAGCAGACTTGTAATCAGTGCTTTACTGACTGGTATAATTGAATCAGTTTTCAATTGTCCAGTATCGTAAACTCAAACAGCAGAAACGTGCAACGTCTTCCTAAATGTTTTTTCTTATATGACGTTTATAGAGAATGATCTGCGCTTTAACCCTGCTTTAGTCAGTCGTAGTATATGTGTACGTCTGTGAACTGCATGACCATTCATTCCTGTGAGAGGAGAAGGCAGAGTGCTGAGGATCGAGGCCTTGAGAACGGAGGGAGACGCTAAAATAAGACCTGCAACTGACATCCACACTCACTCATTACACACTCTCTCTCTCTCTCTCTCTCTCTCTCTCTCTCTCTTTTATCTCTTTCTCTCTTTTCTCTTTCACTCTCTCCCCCCATTCACACACACTCTCTCTCTCTCCTGTTTTTTATTCCTCTCTCATTCACTCTCTCTCTCTCTCTCTCTGCTCATGTTCACTTGTCTCTCTTCTGTTTTTCTCTCTCATTTTCTCTCACTCTCTCTCTCCTTCCTCTTCTCTCTCTCTCTCCTCCCTGTTTTTTCTCTTATTCTCTCTCTTTGTGTCTGTCATGATTTTCTTTTTCTCTCTCTCTTTCATCTCTCATTTGCCTCTGTTTTTTCTTTTTTATTCATTCTGACTTTCTCTGTTTCTGTCTCTCTTTTTTCTTTCTATCTTTCTCTCATGTCTTTCTTTCTCTCTCTTTTTCTCTCTCTGTCTCTCTGTTTCTCTTTCTTTCATCTCTCATTTGTCTCTCTTTTCTCTCATTCTCTTTTTCGTGCCTCGCTCTTTTTTTCTCTCTCCTGTTTTTTCTGGTATACACTCTGTCTCTCACGATTTTCTTTTTCTCTCTGTCTTGATCTCTTTCTTTCATCTCTCATTTGTCTCTGTTTCTCTCTCTCTCTCTCGTGTCTCGCTCTTTTCTCTCTCTGTCTTCTATCCATGTTTTCTTTCTCTTTTTTTGTCCTTACTTGTCTCTCTCTCCTTGTCTTCGCTCTTTCTCCTCTCTCTCTCTCTCTCTCTCTCTCTCTCTCTCTCTCTCTCTCTCTCTCTCTGTAGGTGACTGAATTGGCTCCTCTCGGGTCTCTGTTGGACCGTTTGAGGAAGAATCAGGGTCACTTCCTCATCTCCATTCTGTGTCAGTACGCCATTCAGATAGCCAATGGTATGGCCTACCTGGAGTCCAAGCGCTTCATCCACCGCGACCTGGCGGCCAGGAACATCCTGCTGGCCTCCAGCGAGCTGGTCAAGATCGGAGACTTCGGCCTGATGAGGGCGCTGCCCAAAAACGACGACCATTACGTCATGCAGGAGCACCGCAAAGTCCCGTTCGCCTGGTGAGAGAGAGCTGAGAGAATGAGACAGAGAGAGAGAGAGAGAGAGAGGAAGAGAGAGATAGTGAGAACAATACAGACCCAAACAAATGCAAGCGAGAGAGAACCTGCAGAACCTGTGTGGATCAGTGTTTCAGCTTCTGAATGCACTGTGGCTTGAATTAGTTCTTAATTATTCACATGAGAAAAAATTATTAATTCTGTGCTTTTACTGGTACAGGCAGGTGCAAAAGCCCTGTGTGATTTCCTCGTTACAGGCATGCACTGTAGCTTGATGGGTAATGATCGTAATTTGTGCAGTGAAACAATAGATGCCATATCGCCAACTACACTTTCTGTCATGTATTACAGTCTGTCACAATTTCTGCAGTTATCTGATTATTCAAAAGGTCGTGTAAACAGCATACTCTTATTTCTTAGATCAGAGTAAGGTCTAGAAATCTGATTAAGAAATCTGATGAAGAGAGCTTGATTTTAGCTCAGTTATGAGATTTCTCAGGGCACGTAAACTCTTACTCGGATTTCTTTCAGTTTTCTCTGTGCATGTGCGAAAAACAGACTGCAGTACCGGAAATAAGCAATGTTGCCATGAGATGCAAAACACTTTCAGAGTGACGCCGAATCCAAATACATGCTTGACGAAACGAAGGATTTAAATATTCTTCATCTTCTAGATGATGTATGTTTGTATTTTCAGGTAAAGTGTGTTGATGTTTTTAGAAAAAAGCCACGATGTGAAGTTTGAGTTTTACATTATGTTTATGTCGCGTCTTCTTCTGTGAGTTTATTGGCTGGTTGCAAAGCAGAAATCTGATTACTGTCTGACTCATGTAGACCTGGAGTTTCCCCTTGTCTGATTACTCAAGCGCATGTAAACGCATGGATCCAGTTACTGACAAAATCTGATTTTCTGCAGTTATCAGATTATTAAATGCATGTAAATGCACTCACTGACTATGGATGCTTCCCAAACCACAACATACTAAATAGTATATCAAAAATAGTACACCACATTTAGAAGTGTATATTGATATAAAGCCGGTGTGAAATGTACGAATATTATAGATTATTATAGAGAGCTTTTGTTTTTTTGAAAATCATATCAGCATTGGCAGATAATTACTTAAAAAATTGACTGTCATCAGGCAGATGTTTAGATGTGGCTAATATTTCAGACTAATATTTGAAGATGTATTTATTGTAGCAGAATGTTTAGGTGATGCTGGGTTAATACACTAAAATATTAGCATTTTATCAATTTTTATTGTATACAAAGTTCATATAAACATTTATATATCAACATTGGCAGATATTTTAAAAAGAAATGATCGGATATCAACATCAGCCCATATGCCATATCAGTATATCCCTACTTTTAAGTAAATATGAGGGCTACAACAAGTAGTTGATCAGATTTGACAAATTATTATTGATAAATACTTTGAAAATAGCAGCGCATCTAAAGCGAGTCCGATCTAGATACCTATGGTTAGTCTTAATGTCAGTCAAACGGTCCTTACCTGTCAAAGCGGTGATGATGTCTCAGCAGTAGTCTGAGGTCGGGCAGTCGAGACTCCGTTCCTAACTGTCTGTATTAGGGCTCTAATTTGAGGTGATAATGTTGGATTTAATCACCCAGTACAGACCTTCAGCTCTGGAGCTCATGAGCTGTCCTTCCAGAGCAGAAAGAAACTTTAAAGACTATACATCTGAGTTTAGCATGTGCTCGGGTGTAATTGTTTATCAGTGTGTTTTTCCCATTAACTTGTTGCATTTGATTGCATTGTATTTAATTGAGTAATAATACTATTGACAGTAAATGAGGATTATAATAAAGATTATAAAAAAATCTTGTTTAATCATTAAAGTGAAGCACACATCTTGAGCTTTCCTTATTCTTATAGAATATTCTAATCTTTGAGATAATATTCAATAGAGTATTCGAAAGTGAAAATAGTCCACAATTGATGGCATCTAAGGCTAATGAACTTTATTCAATTGATGAGTTGTATAAGCCCTGTTATGGGGATAATTGTGTTTGTGTGTGTGTGTGTGTTTGTGTGTGTGTTCCAGGTGTGCCCCAGAGAGTCTGAAAACCCGCACTTTTTCCCACGCCACAGACACATGGATGTTTGGTGTGACCTTATGGGAGATGTACACTTATGGACAGGAGCCATGGTTGGGCCTCAATGGCAGTCAGGTACTTACTGCCTCACACCATTTCTGATCATACCTGTCAGCTTTCATAACATTCAGAACTGTGTTAAAGCAACACTTCAGCCAAAAGTGGGCAGACAAAAACGGTTAAAATACACCGATCAGGCATAACATTATGACCACATCCATGTTTCTACGCTCATTGTCCATTTTATCAGCTCCACTTACTATATAGGTGCACTTTGTAGTTCTACAGTTACAGACTGTAGTCCATCTGTTTCTCTGCATACTTTGTTAGCCCCCTTTTACCCTGTTCTTCAGTGGTCAGGACTCCCATGGACCCCCACAGAGCAGGTACTATTTGGGTGGTGGATCATTCTCAGCACTGCAGTAACACTGACGTGGTGGTGGTGTGTTAGTGTGTGTTGTGCTGGTACAAGTGGATCAGACACAGCAGTGCTGCTGGAGTTTGAAACACTGTGTCCACTCACTGTCCACTCTATTAGACACTCCTACCTTGTCAGTCCACTTTGTAGATGTAAAGTCAGAGACGACAACTCATCTGCTGCTGCACAGTTTGTGTTGGTCATCCTCTAGTCCTACATCAGTGGTCACAGGACGCTGCCCACAGGACGCTGTTGGCTGGATATTTTTGGTTGGTGGACTATTCTCAGTCCAGCAGTGACCCTGTGGTGTTTAAAAACTCCAGCAGCACTGCTGTGTCTGATCCACTCAGACCAGCACAACACACACTAACACACCACCACCACGTCAGTGTTACTGCAGTGCTGAGAATGATCCACCACCCAAATGGATCCTCACAGATCAGGTACTATGGGGGTCCTGACCACTGAAGAACAGGGTAAAAGGGGGCTAACAAAGTATGCAGAGAAACAGATGGACTACAGTCTGTAACTGTAGAACTATAAAGTGCACCTATATAGTAAGTGGAGCTGATAAAATGGACAATGAGCGTAGAAACAAGGAAATAATGTTATGCCTGATCGGTGTATATTTCTTTGACAAATAGTATGTTGGCACATCATCCACTGAAGAGCAAACATTAGCTCATATGAAGACGCAGCCTCTGTACTCATACAATATAAAAACCTACCAGTGTCCCTCAGCTGTTTTCAAATATTAAAACGTGGGAATTGCCATTCCGGATTTAAGCGTGGAACGTAAGTTTCCATTACCTGTTAACTTCGTTAGCCTGGTAGCTCTGGTGCTGATCTAAAGAAGCAAGCTTTAGACACCAAAAACATCTTGGCTGATCCAAAGCATCGCTTTAACCAGCTCTTATGTGCTTTTCAGATCCTCCATAAAATTGATAAGGAGGGGGAGCGGCTGCCCAAGCCGGAGGACTGTCCTCAGGACATCTATAACGTGGTGATGCAGTGCTGGGCACAGAAACCGGACGACAGGCCGACGTTCATGGCCCTGAGGGAGTTCCTGGTGGAAACCATGCCCACCGACATGAGGGCCTTACAGGACTTTGACGAGCCAGACAAACTGCACATCCAGATGAACGACGTCATCACCATCATTGAGGGCAGGTGTGACATCAGTAAGATTTTTCGTAGACGCTAAAGGAGTGCTTTACACTCTCTCACTGTTTCTGCATCACCTTTGTTACCTTTAATTTACATTACATAATTAAATACACAGTTATTTAAAGGGAATTCCACTGATTTCTCAAGATTTCTGCATAATTCAGTTCTTGAGATGCAAACAAAGTCATTCAGACTGGTTTGATGTGAAAATATGGTGCATTGTAGAGAAACTTACTGACTCAGATTTACAGTGGTGGTGACAGGAACCTACAACACAAATATAGCCATTTTATTTACTATCCAAAACCGTTCAAAAAATCATAAAAACAAATTTCAGCTTTCTTGCGTAGTTTAAAAAAAGGATTAAGGCAAAAACTTTCTCACAACTATTGTGAACAATGACTCAAGCGTCAGGCAGCATATTCATAAACAGTTCATGTAATAACTTTCTGTGAAGGAGCTTTTAGAGGCATTAAACTCTTCAGACGTCTGGTTCCTATCACCACCACTGTGAACGTTTTCTCAAGAATGGAGCATTTCATGTCAAAACACTTTGAATGGCTTTGTTTACATCTTAACCATTTAATTATTCAGAATGTTTGAATTAAATTAAAGTTGAATTCCACTTTTAATAAATGCCCTTTACATTCATTTACATACAATGCAGTGTCTGCGTTTTTTTATGTTTCTCACATCAAGAAATGACAAAAATGATACAGTCTACAATAAACCTCATTCATATCATAATAAAATATCTCATACTGTACATAATAAAATATCTCAAATGTGGTATGTATTGAACATTAACAGAATTACACCTATTTTAATGCACTATGCGAAAGAAATAATTGACATAAATTACAGCGTGCTTTTGTTATCTCCAGTGGTAAAAGTGACTGGAAAGGGTCAATCTTACAACGTCAGAACTCTTACATCTTACATTTCGAAGAGTTTCAAGTAGGGCTGGGCGATAAAACGATAACGATAAGTATCGCGATATAACTTTTCCTCGATAGAGCGATACGACATGTTCGATAAATGTTCGATATAATACACTGTTCTCACACTCCCACGTTTTAGCGAAAGCCCTGGTGGCGTTTTCTACTGCAAGGAAAGCGACACTACTCTGCTGTCGCCAGGAGAGGGCGCACTTCCGAATTTTTCGACTTGATTAGAGAGGGAGGGGGCCACGAGTAAAAAAAGGGCCGTGTTACAGCGCCAAACCGTCATATTTTAGTATTAGTGCATCCTCGAGCAACGAAAGTGAAAGAAAGAACTGGGTTCAAGTTCGAAAGTAAACTGAGGAAGCTGTGAGGCATTGGAGAGCGGGAGAGCGCTATCTTTCCAGGCTAGCTGTTTTTAGCTGCTGGCTAATTGAAGCAGCGCTTCGGCACAACACGGTGAATTGATGATACAGTAGATCAAACAAGACACAGAATCACCGCTTTCAGTTTAAACATACCTAAAAGGAGGACTCTGTGACTGGTGTGAGAGATTCACACTGCAGATAATGCTTTTACACAGCGAGCGTCAGATATACTGCGGTTCACCCCTTAAACTACTACGATAGCATAGAGAAACCCAGTCGTCTAGCTGGTGTCTGAATACTGTGATATGCTCCGACATGGATGTGGTAGGAGTGACAGCAGTGACCTACCGAACCGAGTTGAGTTTAGCGCTGTTGTTGGCCACTTGTTTAGCATTTGTAGCGGGGTAGCCGAGCGCTCGTCACCAGACAGCTAAAAATAATCTTTCTTAAATCATAACTATTACAAAAATTGCAGCTGTGCATTTCAAGCTGATAAAAACAGCTCAGAAACTTTCTCCCACTCTTCCATGACAGATTAGTAAAATGTTCCACTGTTTGCCGAGTGTTTGTCATGATCGGACCATAAGTGATAGTTTAAAACCACAGTTAACCACCCAGGAGCAAAATCAGCCTTCAAACGTGAAAGAAATCATGATTTGACATTTATCTCGATATGTATCGATATCGAACGATATGAGTTTTGTTTATCGTGATAACGTTTTTGGCCATATCGCCCAGCTCTAGTTTCAAGTAGAGCCCTATTACTGTATTAAAAACTGTGTCCTCCAGTCCAGTCTGTCAGTAAACTCTTTATAACTCTTAGCTGTATATAGAGTTGACTGCATGTGGTCAGAATGTCCAGACAGCTGTTTGTAAACCTGTTTGATCTGTGTTTCTGTGCAGGGCAGAGAACTACTGGTGGCGAGGGCAGAATAAGAGCACTCTAAAGGTCGGTCAGTTTCCCAGGAACACAGTTACCTCTGTAGCTGGCCTGTCAGCTCATGACATCAGCCGGCCGCTGAAGAACAGCTTCATCCACACGGGCCATGGAGACACTAATCCACACCGCTGCTGGGGCTTCCCGGACAGAATCGACGAGTAAGACACAAAACCCACCATCTCACACAAAAGCTGATCTGAAACAGAGGCAAAGCTGTGATGGTAGGACATCTAAACAAACTGGCATTTCAGAAACCAACAGAATACAATTCAGCACACAAGATGAGCTGTGAAATGCTTTACAGACTGACTGGAATTAAACCACAGGTTAAATCAGGTTAATCTGGCAAGTGATGTTGCTAAAGTATTGAAAAAGCTGAGCTAAACCTGATATTGTGACAGTTTCATGGCTCTATCCATGACAGCGCAGTGAGGTTGGTTTTATATTCGACATTGAACTTTCTCTCTTCAATTTCAATGTCAAAAATGATCAACCTGACATTTTCTCACCCGTAAAAGACACTACAACCAAATACATTTATATTTATACATTTTCAAGGCATTAAATTTAGCAACATGGGTCACTGATGCTTCAGTCATCAAGGCATCACCTTAAAAGGTCATAATGCCGTCTTTCTAAGCTGTATTTCCCACGTATTTAGCTAAAGGAAGGCAAAATTGCATCAAATCACTTGTAGTAAAGAGAGCCGCCTACTTTACCCAGGATTTGTAGTAGATTAAAGGAGCTCACTCTCTTTATTACTAGTGAATTGGTGCGATTTTGCTCTATTTTTGCTTAATACAAAGGAAATATATTGTGCACTGCTTAGATGACCATAATAACTACGGCATCTGTGCTCTGTTCAGCAAAATTTAGCAACACATTTTTCTTAAAAAAAATATTTGACTGTTTGTTCTTTGTCTTTCAGGAGTGTGAAAATGTAGGTTTGAACAATTTTTATTAATTTATTTCATGAGAAATCGATGAAAGGAAGTTGAATATTCAGCGATCTAATATACAGTCACCTTAACTACACTACTTTTTTTTAGTCAGAAGAAACTGTCAGTGTCAAAGCACATTTGATAGTCAGGGCTTCTTTTTTAATTCATTTTGGAGAACTGTTGTATAAAAGCAATAGAACACTTAAGGTTGTGTGTTATCACAAGTAACTTTATGGTCATACTTATAGCCTGTGATTCATGACTGTAACCAAATAGTATATTTATAAATATCTATAAGTTTTATGGAACATGGCATAAAACGTGTAGAGGTCTGCCGTGACTGTTTGTGACTATTTGCTGTTTTCGTAATTGATTTGTTTTTGTAAGCCTACATAAACATGTTTATTATCCAGCCTATAAACCTTGAATCGTTTCTAGCTTTGACGTTATTTTCTTTTCTTGTCTGTTCACAATCCTAGTTTTTCTGGAGTATGATGAATTCTTTTGCACACTTTCTTTCACATGCGTTTACATTCTCCACCAGAGGGCAGCAGTGCACTGCTCACACTGCTACAGATGTGTCCTCCTACATTATTTGTCCTCAAAGCCTGGAGGCCTGTTAATCTCCTGTCCCATTGTGTTGTGCTCTCTGCAGTCTGTATCTGGGGAACCCCATGGACCCTCCGGATGTTCTGGGGCTGGATCTAAACGTTCCTAGACCCACCCAGCTTCCTGGACGAGCCAAAAGTGAGTTCTCTTTCAGCTCTTTTATTCATATCTACTGATGCTTTCGCTGCTTCTTTTCTTTTCTTTAACCATCCCTAACCTTTTTTTATTTCTTTCACTTCTCTCCAACATGGCTTTTTCCCACATTCCTTGGTTGCACCCTGTGTTGTCTTTCTCTCTCTCTTTCTCTCTCTTTCTCTCTCTTTATCGCTCTCTCTCGGCGCTGTTTTGCAGAGGAGCCTCCCCCTCGACCCCCTCAGCCGGCTTTGCTCTTCAAGAGTAAGTGTGGCTAGTTCAGTTCAAGCACTGCTTCTGTCCCTCTTATCTTTCCTAATTCTCTCTTCACTGCCTTTAATATTTCCTAAAATTTTCACCCAAACCTGATTACAGCCCCAGATCTCTCAGGTCCCAGATTTGACCTGACTCGCCCCACAAAATTTTGTTTGAACTGTAGCCCCACAAAATTTTGCTGTAGCTGACAAAGTTCCGTCTGAACTCGATCGTAGCTGACAAAATTCTGTCTGAACTCGACTGTAGCTGACAAAGTTCTGTCTGAACTCGACTGTAGCTGACAAAGTTCTGTCTGAACTCGACTGTAGCTGACAAAGTTCTGTCTGAACTCGACCGTAGCTGACAAAGTTCTGTCTGAACTCGACCGTAGCTGACAAAATTCTGTCTGAACTCGACCGTAGCCGACAAAATTCTGTCTGAACTCGACTGTAGCCGACAAAGTTCTGTCTGAACCCGACTGTAGCCGACAAAATTCTGACTGAACTCGACCGTAGCCGACAAAGTTCTGTCTGAACCCGACTGTAGCCGACAAAGTTCTGTCTGAACTCGACCGTAGCTGACAAAATTCTGACTGAACTCGACCGTAGCCGACAAAATTCTGTCTGAACTCGACTGTTGCCGACAAAGTTCCGTCTGAACCCGACTGTAGCCGACAAAATTCTGTCTGAACTCGACTGTAGCTGACAAAGTTCCGTCTGAACTCGACTGTAGCTGACAAAATTCTGACTGAACTCGACTGTAGCTGACAAAATTTTGTCTGAACTCGACTGTAGCTGACAAAATTCCATCTGAACTCGACCGTAGCTGACAAAATTCTGTCTGAACTCGACTGTAGCCGACAAAGTTCCGTCTGAACCCGACTGTAGCCGACAAAATTCTGACTGAACTCGACTGTAGCTGACAAAATTCTGACTGAACTCGACTGTAGCTGACAAAATTTTGTCTGAACTCGACTGTAGCTGACAAAGTTCCGTCTGAACCCGACTGTAGCTGACAAAGTTCTGTCTGAACTCGACTGTAGCTGACAAAGTTCCGTCTGAACCCGACTGTAGCTGACAAAGTTCCGTCTGAACCCGACTGTAGCTGACAAAGTTCCGTCTGAACCCGACTGTAGCTGACAAAGTTCTGTCTGAACTCGACTGTAGCTGACAAAGTTCCGTCTGAACCCGACTGTAGCTGACAAAGTTCCGTCTGAACCCGACTGTAGCTGACAAAATTCTGACTGAACTCGACTGTAGCTGACAAAATTCTGACTGAACTCGACTGTAGCTGACAAAATTTTGTCTGAACTCGACTGTAGCTGACAAAGTTCTGTCTGAACTCGACTGTAGCTGACAAAATTCCGTCTGAACTCGACTGTAGCTGACAAAGTTCTGTCTGAACTCGACCGTAGTTGACAAAGTTCTGTCTGAACTCGACTGTAGCTGACAAAGTTCCGTCTGAACTCGACCGTAGCTGACAAAATTCTGTCTGAACTCGACCGTAGCTGACAAAATTCTGTCTGAACTCGACTGTAGCTGACAAAGTTCTGTCTGAACTCGACTGTAGCCGACAAAGTTCTGTCTGAACTCGACCGTAGCTGACAAAATTCTGTCTGAACTCGACCGTAGCCGACAAAGTTCCGTCTGAACTCGACCGTAGCTGACAAAATTCTGTCTGAACTCGACTGTAGCCGACAAAGTTCCGTCTGAACCCGACTGTAGCCGACAAAATTCTGACTGAACTCGACTGTAGCTGACAAAATTCTGACTGAACTCGACTGTAGCTGACAAAATTTTGTCTGAACTCGACTGTAGCCGACAAAATTCTGACTGAACTCGACCGTAGCCGACAAAATTCTGTCTGAACTCGACTGTAGCCGACAAAGTTCCGTCTGAACCCGACTGTAGCCGACAAAATTCTGTCTGAACTCGACTGTAGCTGACAAAGTTCCGTCTGAACTCGACTGTAGCTGACAAAATTCTGACTGAACTCGACTGTAGCTGACAAAATTTTGTCTGAACTCGACTGTAGCTGACAAAATTCCGTCTGAACTCGACTGTAGCTGACAAAGTTCTGTCTGAACTCGACTGTAGCTGACAAAGTTCTGTCTGAACTCGACTGTAGCTGACAAAATTCTGTCTGAACTCGACCGTAGCCGACAAAATTCTGTCTGAACTCGACTGTAGCCGACAAAGTTCCGTCTGAACCCGACTGTAGCCGACAAAATTCTGACTGAACTCGACTGTAGCTGACAAAATTCTGACTGAACTCGACTGTAGCTGACAAAATTTTGTCTGAACTCGACTGTAGCTGACAAAGTTCCGTCTGAACCCGACTGTAGCTGACAAAGTTCTGTCTGAACTCGACTGTAGCTGACAAAGTTCCGTCTGAACCCGACTGTAGCTGACAAAGTTCCGTCTGAACCCGACTGTAGCTGACAAAATTCTGTCTGAACTCGACTGTAGCTGACAAAGTTCTGTCTGAACTCGACTGTAGCTGACAAAGTTCCGTCTGAACCCGACTGTAGCTGACAAAATTCTGTCTGAACTCGACTGTAGCTGACAAAGTTCCGTCTGAACCCGACTGTAGCTGACAAAATTCTGACTGAACTCGACTGTAGCTGACAAAATTTTGTCTGAACTCGACTGTAGCTGACAAAGTTCTGTCTGAACTCGACTGTAGCCGACAAAATTCCGTCTGAACTCGACTGTAGCTGACAAAATTCCGTCTGGACTCGACTGTAGCTGACAAAGTTCTGTCTGAACTCGACCGTAGTTGACAAAGTTCTGTCTGAACTCGACCGTAGCTGACAAAGTTCCGTCTGAACTCGACTGTAGCTGACAAAATTCTGTCTGAACTCGACCGTAGCTGACAAAATTCTGTCTGAACTCTACTGTAGCTGACAAAATTCTGTCTGAACTCGACCGTAGCTGACAAAGTTCTGTCTGAACTCGACTGTAGCCGACAAAGTTCTGTCTGAACTCGACCGTAGCTGACAAAATTCTGTCTGAACTCGACCGTAGCTGACAAAATTCTGTCTGAACTCGACCGTAGCTGACAAAGTTCTGTCTGAACTCGACTGTAGCCGACAAAGTTCTGTCTGAACTCGACCGTAGCCGACAAAGTTCCGTCTGAACTCGACCGTAGCTGACAAAATTCTGTCTGAAGTCTACACTGTTTTACTGGACAAACTGGCCTTGTCCAACAAACTGGCCTTGTCCAACAATACAAACGAGTCTAATGTTCCAGATAAAAAATGTGCTTGTTTAAGCTGGTGAAAGTAGGGAGGAAACATAAAGTAAGCTAAAACTAAAGCACAGGGTAAATGTACTCGGGCGGTAAGAAACACAAACAAGAAATGTGATGCCAGCCCAAGCCCGACCAATGCTCCAAATCAATAGTGGGCTTTGGACAAATGTTTCAGATTCTGACCCAGCAAAGATTTACTATATGGCAGCTTTGCTTCTTTGCTCTCCTTCCTCCTAAACTTCTGCTCCTGTCTCCACTAATCTGACTGCATCCATGAGCTACGAGGTAACTGGGCAGCACCATCTCCGTAGAAAGCCAAAAGAATATAAGTGAATTTGAGAGAATAATGCTCTTCCCTTCTCCCTGTAGTTGATTCATGTGTTCCCTCAGTCCTTTTTGCAGATGTTATATGCTCTTTTCTTCACATAGGAAAAAATCATTAAGATTAGTTCACGCTTGAATAGACATCCTCTGCAGGAGCAAGGCTTTTTAAAGATTATTTTTTAAGCTAGGAATGATTGTAACTCGCGTACAAGAGGACCACCCTGTGAAGAATCAATTTCTTCATGCATGGTGTGCTCCTAACATTCTGCTAATGATTGGGTGGTATTGCTGCTTGAACAACAAGCTGTAGGTTTCACAATTTATTCAGAACCACTAGAGCACAGGCTGACACCGTGATAGTGTTACAATACTAAAATACTCACTATATAACAAAAAAAACCCTTTGTCTTTGGTCTTAGACCTCTTACACCGCAATGGCCTGTACAATGTAACAAATGGTATCTTGTCAAGTGAAATGATGTTAAATCTAGTCGACATATCAAATATTTCCCATTTTGAGATGGTTGTGCACTTATAAGATTATCCAGCTTATTTCCTGAAGGTTTTTTTTTTGTTTTCGGTCATTTTATTAAGTAAAATTATCTCACTATACTGGCAGATAATTTTGCTGGTTTCATTTCTTAAAACAAGCAGTTATCTGCCAATATAGTGAGATAATTTTACTTAATAAAATTACTTAAAATTAGTAAAAAAAAAAGCCTAGAAATAAGTTAAATAATCTTAATTTAAGTTTACAACAATCTCAACAGGAGAAATATTAGCTTTAAGATAATATTTTAATTAAGATTTTTTTTTTGCTTGACAAGATACAGTTTTTTGCGGTGCAGAATTCTTTGCATAACTTACATGTTAGTTTAATTGTAGTTGCTAAATATTTTATAATAGTTACTGAATAGTAAGGCTTAAGATATATATCTGAATGATAAACTTGCAGGTCATCTGTAGTGTCTTATATAACTTTATTGCAATAACAAAACCTCGTAACTGCATCCTTTTTGGCCTCTATTGTCTGTTTTAAATAGAACAGTTGTCTTTTACATTGTGTAATGATTTCATGTCAAACGGACTGATAACAATGGTCCAAAATCTCCTTATAGTAGCAGATTCTAAGAACTTTAAGTTTAAGAAGTAACAACAGCAACAATAAACCTCTGTATGTTCCTGTGCTCTAGAGCCAACCTACGACCCTGTTACTGAAGACGAAGACCCAAGTTCCTCTGCCCTGAGACGTCTCTCTTTAAAGAAGGCCAGCATGAAAGGCCTCAAACTCAAGCCATCCGCTTGGGTTTCAGCCACCAGGCCTGTTTATGGCTTCCGGACTCCAGGAGGTGGGACCCCAACTGAGGTTTCCCTCATAGACTTTGGAGAGGAAGTACCCTCAGCTACCCCTTCCCCCTCCCCTGTGGTGGAGACTCACGTTCCTACTCTTGCCAAACTCTCTCTGGATGCGGAGAACCTTCTGGACGGAACTCCGCCCCAGAGCCCCTCCCAAACTCTGCCCCGCCCACTCCACCCCACCCCAGTAGTAGACTGGGACTCCAGGCCCCTCCCTCCTCCCCCAGCATACGACGATGTAGCACAAGACGAAGATGACATTGAGGTCAGCTCAATCAACAGTGCCGAACCTGGCTCTCCTCGGGCACTTTGCACTCCCACAGATGAGGATAAGCCTCACATAGAGGACAATCTTTTTTTGCCCAGAGGGCAAAGCCGTGCCAGAACCTTCTCCCAGTCGGCTGAGATCTTCCAGGAGCTACAGCAGGAGTGCATGAGGCGCCTCAATGTTCCAAACCCTGAACTTTATCGCCAGATTGTCCTCAATACGTCCGAGGACAAACCCCAAATTCCGCCCCGTATCCCAATTCCTCCCAGACCCCCAAAAAGCACAGGTGCGGAATATGCCCGCTGGTCAGGCGAACTTTCTCCAGTCTCTGGGGGTGAAGAGGACACAGTACGTCCACCTCAAATCCCTCCGCGAGACCCCCTCTCTCAGCCTGGCTCTCGCACCCCCAGTCCAATGGGACTCTACGTCGGCAGCCACTGCTCTCCAGCCTCCATCTACGGCTCTTCCTACCTCTCCACATCTCCTGGTAAGCTCATGCCTACCACCCAAAGCTTCGCCTCGGACCCCAAATACGCCGCCCCCAAAGTCATCCAGGCGCAAGGCAAGGACAAAGAAGCGACCAAAGGACCTTGCATTCTGCCTATAGTCCGAGACGGCAAAAAAGTCAGCAACACGCACTACTACCTCCTGCCAGAGAGACCACCATATCTGGACCGCTATGACAAGTTCCTCAAAGAGGCGGAGACTGGAGAAGAGAGGCGGAGCCTCAATACAGCCATGGTGCGGCCCATGGTCCAGCAGCAGCAAGGGGAGCCCAAATCCAACTTCTCCTCCAATAACAATAGCAGTCTGATGGGTTCCTCAGGCAGAGCAGGTGGTAAGAACTCTGTGAGCCTGCCCAGAGTGACCACCGATGGGTCGATCAGCAGGGTTGAGGGAGCCTGCACCCCAGACAGAGTCAAATTGGTGAGTCCCAGTGTGAATTAATGCAATAGTTTGGCAAAAATCATATTTGCACAGTTTTCCCAGTTTTTTGCCTCATATGTAGTCAAGTAGCCAAGACATGTTGACTTCTTTAGTTTAGTTTTGCACTGAGGCTAATGTGCCTTAGATGTGACGTAAGTTTATATGCCTCTAATTAGCATTGTGCAAACTGCATGTCTGAGTCATCACACTCTCCTCAAACTGCATTGAGAGGTTAAATAATCTCAAATAGACTTGCTCTGTTCCTCTCTGTGGTTCTTCTTCATGCTCTTAGGTAGTTTTTCCATTTGAATCTTGGTTCCTCAGTGGTTCTTGTTCATGCTCTTTGGGAGCTTTTCCAGTTAAGTCTTGGTTCCTCAGTGGTTCTTCCTCATCCTCTTAAAGTTTTTTCTTTTTGAGTGTTGGTTGCTCTCATATTCTTCCTCATGTTCTTAGAGAGTTTCTTCTTTTGAGTGTTGGTTCCTCTCAGGTTCTTCCTTATGTTCTTAGACAGTTTCTACTTTTGAGTGTTGGTTCCACTCAGGTTCTTCCTCGTGCTCTTAGAGAGTTTCTTCTTTTGAGTGTTGGTTCCTCTCAGGTTCTTCCTTATGTCCTTAGAGAGTTTCTACTTTTGAGTATTGATTCATTTCTGCTTCTTCCTCATGCTTTTATGGAGATTTTCCTGGAGAAAGTTAGGTTAAGGAATATTGTTTTGTCAGATGCCATATACACAAGGTCTGTAATGGAATGCTACAGGTGTTGCTCATCATCAGTAGGGGGCAGCAAAGAGCAGACAGTATTTCTCTGAAACCACTTTGCATTTTACAGTTCTGTGTTTTGAGGTCGCTCCAGTGCATTTGCACAGTCTGAGCCCTGATTGATTGCTCTTCAGAGTCAGTCTCTGCTTTAGTCTGCTTAATGGATGCAGTGTTATGCATAACAACAAATGAAATCATATAAAAAATTCAATGCTTTTGAAAGACTACAGTGTGGTAAATTTAGTAGTCTCATACTTGATGCACTCACTTCTTTATATACAGATTTATTTTAAAAATAGAGGCGTTATGTGGAGGTGTACCGCCTCTAGATAACTGACCATTTTCAGCCTCTCTTTTTCCCTTAGAATTGAACAGGTTGTGCCTTTAAGACTGATGTGTGCAGTTGAGCTCTGTTCTGATTGGCTGCCTTGTACTGTGCCTTGTTTAAAAAGCACTTCTGATTGAAACTCTCTTTATAATTTCAGCTTGAATGGGTGTGGCTAAACAGTGGATACATGTAAAAGTGTGGATTTTAGTGACATCACAAACACAGTTCATTCAAAACAGGCTGTTTTTGCATCTTAGTTTCTTAATATATATCAAGTGGACTGGAAAGTGAATGTTAAAGTTTCAAAATGTAACAATGTTTACATAATACATCAAACTTCATTTCCAAAAAGTAAGGAAAATTTGCTTTTCTGTGATATTGGCCCTTTAAATAACATATATGCCATTATGTTTATGAAAATAAGTAAACTAAATACATCATACAGGTACTGTAACAAATATTAGATTATATTGTATTTCCTCATCTCACTGATTAAAGTCTGGTGACGTCCCTAATCGAGTGCTTTTGTTTTGCTCAGGTGCAGGAGGCGGTGCACGGGGTGACGATTGATGAATGTCAGACGGCCCTGCAGAACCACAGCTGGAACATACAGAAAGCTGTGCACTATCTGAAGGTACTGCGTCATTCACCAGTTTTTCCTGCCTCGATGGTTCAGTTGTTGTCAGTGTTCCTTTATGTTCCTAGTGGATATTCCAGTGTGGCAGATGAACTGTGGAAATCTCGTTTCTTTTCCTCTTCCTGTCTGCTTCAGCTGGAGAGTAAGATCTGTATTAAATATTAACTTAATTATAAGACAGCATAAAACAAAATTAGACAGTATGGTTTTATATCCTGACCGTATGTACTACACTACTTATTGTTGCTGTGTTAGGTTGTTAGTAACTGGTCACTGCTTACTGGTAATTGGTTACATATTCTAATAACTAAAATGCTAATAACTGGTCATTTTACAATGCTAATAACAAAAATGCTAATAAATGGACATTTGCTAATACTAATAATAGGTCAGCGTGTGATGCTAATAAACGGACATTTGCTACTACTAATTATAGGTCAGCGTATACTAATAATACCAATACTAATAACTGGTTGTTTGTTGTTGCTGATGACTTAAATGTTAATAACTGGACATTTGTTGTAATATTAATAATTGGTCATTTGATGATGCTAAAAGCTAAAAGGCAGTAAATGGTCAGTAACTGGTAAATAACCGGTCATTTTGGTCATTTAATGATACTAATTTCTCTCTCTCTCTCTCTCCCTCTCTCTCTCTCTCGCTCTAGGTGGAGCAGCTCTTCTGTCTGGGTTTGAAGTCCAGGGTGGAGTGTCATAAGATTCTGGAGATGTGTGACTGGAATCTGGAGCTGGCCAGCACTCAGCTCTTAGACTCTTACGGCTCGGTCAAACAGAGGTAGCACAGGTTCAGTGTGCTTCCCTATAAACCGTCTATGCTTGTGCTTGTGATACCACACAAAACATAATGAAGTCCTGTAGTCTGAGTTAGTAAGGGGGAGGAAAGGGGTTAGAAACAGGCACTACCTCAAAACAAGAGAGCAAGAACAAAGACAATATTAAAAAAAAAATCAATATTTTTCAAAGATATCTCAGTATGAGTTGATATCTAAGTTGGCATCAATAAAGTTAATAACTCCATGCTTCCTGGGCTCTGCTGCTCTGTACTGAAACTGTCTTAAAAACCTCTAACTTGTTTTGACAGTTTTGTTTTGTTAGCTTCCACCAAATGGAGCCTTACAAAGTAGTGTAAAGATAAATAGGACAGAAAGCACATTTCCAGGAAGGAAAAATAATTTAGTTATGCATTGTGTATTTTTATGTATTTTGGTCTCTTCTTAAAGGACCCATATCACAGAAAACCAATTTCTCCCTCACTTTGTGGAAGTAAAAGTTTGATGTAGTATGTAAACATTATTAGTTAAAGCATACTGTTTACTCTCCCGTGCACAAACTGAAACAAAACCTCAAAAATGACCCGTTCTGAAGTCACTGTGTTTGTGATGTCACAAAAATCAACACATTTACCTATATATCCTCTCATTTAGCCCTCAGCAGTTTAGCCCCGCCTGCTCATGCTGAAGTTATAAGGAGAGTTTTGGCATGGATTGGTTTTTTCAATGTGGCACAATACAGAACAGCCAATTAGCTTGGAGGTAATTTACATATTTACATCAGTCTTATAGGCACAGTAACAAAAACGGCCTGTTTAAGGGGAAAAAGAGAATTTAAAAATGGCCTTTTTTGGTACAAAAAAATAGCAAGTGAGCCTCTAAAGAGAGGTAACATGCAAGAAAAATGCAGTAGACTATGTAGCTTTTAAAGATGATATGGAGCTCCCAGCATTGCAGTTCAGTTGTTTCTGTAAGCACTGCTTAAACCAGGGGTCGATATCCCAAATGTTAAGAGCCATTTTGTCTTTTCAACAAAAAATCAAACCATCTTGGGAGCCACAACATTGTATGTCCATTTTAGCATCTTGGCTGTGAATATGTCTCAGTTTGTGGTAATGTCCTAGTATAGGCTAAAAATATACAAAAATGCAGACTTAATCTGCTCTGCTTTAAGCTTTAGCTCAGCTATTGCTGCTTTTCTCACATCTCTGGAAGGAAACTTTTCCACAAAAGTACAATATTTTCTTGTCTTGCCTCTAAACATTCAAGATAATGTTACTGGGGCACAATTTAAGGTGGAACAGGAGAAGTCGAAAGAGAGGCTGATTTCAGCTTTGTGACTTTTTAGTGTTTGACAGTTTCTTGTTGTAGATTAAACGTATCAGGAAACCAGCTGGAGTGATTATAAAAGCAAACTCCATTCATCCCCAAATTTTCGATGTTCGTCTTAAATCTTCCTCTTTGCCTTTTCGTTAGCTACTAGCAAGGCGAGACTGTTAGCAGCGTTGCTATGGTGACCAGCAGTCTGCGCGCCAACCTTCAGGGTTAAAGGGTGAATTAGCAGTTCTACATTAACTCCAGAGTTTAAGACCATTTATTGTTAAACTGTGTTGAACGATCAGCAAAGCTTTATTTTACTGCAAAGGAGGATTGTTTTATTTTTACCTACAAATCTAATAATGATGTGGAGCCGCAACAGGGCAGTTAAAGAGCTGCATAGTGCCGACCGCTGACTTAAACTAAATATCAGTATTTTTATGCAACATCTCTACTGGCACAGATGATTTATCACCCTGCATTGATTCAAAATGAATGAATTAGAGAAGCCCTACTGAGTTCTGAGAAATAAATCAAAAATCAGTATCTGTAATTTTTAGTTATTTTTTATTTAATATAACGCATGCTGTTTTGGTTATAAAGAAGATTTAAATTCTTGAAACCCCCATCCAAAAATTATTCAGAGAATTTGTTCTCTGTGGTATCTAGGTAGATAAAGCCAAGTGAGCTCTCTAAATGGGAAAGAACCTAAGGAGCTGAACAGAAGGCCTAATGTGTTACATTAGCCACCAACAACGACAGTGAAGTCAGCCAATCACAGTTTGATTTCCAATGGGTGGGACTGGTTTTGTGATGGAAAAAAGGTCACACTAGTCCTTCTGGAGGTTCTGGATATGTCACTGACTGTGAATACAAGCCGTTGTTTAACCAGGTTTCAGTCAGTTGTTAGAAATGGAAAACAGCAGCAGCTCTATGTCAAGAGTCTTTACTGAGTTACTGTAAAACCAAAAGTGGTTGGTGTAGTGTAGTGGGTAACACCTCTGCCTTCTATGCTGTAGAATGGGGTTCAATCCAGCCTGGGTAAGCACCCTACCCTATACCAATAAGAGTACTTGGGCAAGACTCCCAACACTACCTTTGCCTACCTGTATAAAATGATCAAATTGTAAGTCACTCTGCCAAATGCCGTAAATGTAAACTGACAGGTAAAATATACGTTACAAGCTTCAAAAAAACAATGAATGTCTTTAAGCATTAAAGGTCTGTATTTAATCTAGAACAGCCAAAGTTGTTTTTTTTCTTTCTAGAAGCTAATGCTAACATACTACTAGAATCCCATAGGCGTGCCAGCAGAAAATGGTGCTATTCTATTATTGTAAAGGTTTGGCCAAGTTTTGATATTTATGGCTTGAACTGAAGGCCCAACTCTCATAGTCACAGTTCACCACTGTAAATAGAAGAGAAAATAGAGAACAACCCTTTTTCTGTTGCTCCTTTTGTCTGCTTTATGAAACAAGAGCAGCTCCGTCTGGGAAAAAGCATCACTTGAAATGGGGTGAAGTTGACAGACTAAAGTAAATATTACGAGGCTGTGGGTTTCTGACTCAGCTCTCTCTTAGACTTCATATATATCTGTAGCACTTTAGAGCACATTTGAGCTGTAAAATCAACTCAGTGCCAAAAGGACTGTTTGAGAATGCCGGTGTGTTTCATGTGTCTGAAATTTATGCTATTAAACGCACAGAGAGGAGCTTATCATCGCTGAAGTGTGATTTAGTGTAAATTAATTTTAACGTGTATCTTTAAAGTCTGCACTGTCTGCACTGTGATCCCCCTGGAGGCCTCTCCTCCACTCCCTCCTCTTTACTGCTCTAAGTTTGTCCTGATTCACCATCTGCTGGAGCCTCTTCTGCACTATGCTGACATTCAGACAGGACTCGTCCACCAAAAAAAAAGAAAAAAGGGAGTCAGATTGTTTTTCCACGTCAGCATGTTCTGTTTTATTACAGCCAGTAAAAAATGCAAGACTTGCAATTTCGGATGCTTTACCTTTTACTCTCTCCCCCCCTCGTGAATCTGTTTTTTCCCTCCTGTTACTGAAAGAAAATACTGTCTTGTCCAGTATTTCGGACTTATCTCTCTCGTTCTGTCCCATCTGTTTGTCTCAGTTTATCTGACTTTATCTAACAATATGAAAATGCGCCTTTCTCTTTTTAGTAAAACAATCAAAATCACATTTGTCCTGTTTTTCCCCTTAGCCCAAATCTAGCCAGTCAGCCAGTCAGACATGAATTGCTTTTTTAGTTTTGCACTGAAGCTACAAAGCTAATTTGGCTAACAGGTAATGGAAGCTCAAGTACATCAATTAGCATTGCACAAACTACACGTTTCAATGATCTCAGGCTCATGTCAAACCATGTCAACTTGTTAAGTAAAGTAGACTTGCTTACGTGGTTTCTGATCTATAAAACAAGACAAAAGGACAGACTACTGTAATAGGATGTACATATCTCTATTTTTATTGGTAACACAGGGTAGCACAGGATTGGCAACCCAAATGTTAAGAAGAGCCATTTTGTCCTTTTAACAAAAATCAAATCACCTTGGGAGCCACAACATTTTATGTCCATTTTACCATCATGGCTGTAAATATGTCTCAGTAATATTAATGTTCTGTTATATGATAAAAAATATAAATGAAAATGCAGATTTACTTTACTCTGCTTTAACCTTTAGCTCGCTTTTCTCGCATCTCCAACAGGAAACTTTTCCACAAAAGTAGAATAGTTTTTTTGTGAAATGTCTTTCAACATTTGATTTTTACGAGGCTGAAGTCGCTCCTCATTCGCCAGCCTCTTGTTCACCTTAAATGGTGCCTTAGGCACCAGAATGTAACTGCTACACCATTTAAGGTGGAACGAGAAAATTCAAACGAGAAACTGACTACAGCTTCACGACTTTTTAGTGTTTGACAGTTTCTTGTTGCAGACTAAATGCATCAGGAAACCAAATAAGTCCATTCATCTCCAAATCATCGATGTTCGTCTTAAATCTTTCTCTTTGCCTTTTCTTTAATTACTAGCTAGCCGAGATTGTTGTCTGTGTTGCTATGGTGACCAGCAGTCTGCGCGTCAACCTTCAGGGTTAAAGGGTGAACTAACAGTTCTACATTAACTCCAGTGTTTAGGACCATTTACTGTTAAAACTGTGTTACAACGATCAGCAGAGCTTTATTTTACTGATTAAATGATTCATTTATAATAATAATAATTATTCGTTTATAATAATCATAATAATATGAAATTCCACAACTGGATGTGGTTTGAGGTAAGAGTGTGATGAATTAGGCATGCAATTTGCATGACGCTAATTGGTTAAGATACCTTTATTAGTCCCACAACGGGGAAATTTAACCTCCGCATTTAACCCATCCGTGCAGTGAAACACCACATACACACTAGTGAATACACACACACTAGGGGCAGTGAGCACACTTGCCCGGAGTGGTGGGCAGCCCTATCCGCAGCGCCCGGGGAGCAGTTGGGGGTTAGGTGCTCAAGGGCACTTCAGTCATGCGCTGTCGGCTCAGGGAATCAAACCGGTGACCTCCCAGTCACACGGCTGGTTCCCTAACCTCCAGCCCACGATTGCCCCATTATTATTGGCTATGTATTTGTTAGCCACATTAGCCTCATAGCTCCAGTGCTGAAGAAGCAAACATGTCTTGGCTGGTGGATTACATGGTTTGCATCTAGGATGAGCAGGAAGTTAGATTTGCAATTAGATTTGTTGCCTCATTATTTTATGACTGTCACTGAAACCGAGACGAATATCTCTGTTTTCACAGGCGATGAGGAAAAAATGGAGTGTTCTCATCCTCCGCTCCTCAGAGACTGTACTGACTGAAGAATGTTCTCCTGTCCAGAGCACAGCGGGACGGAAGGCTCTTCCAGCACAATATCTCCAGTCTCCTACACTGAGTGCATGACTCATACGTGCGCCCCATCGCGACTAATCAAGTTCCTCCAGAAACCCTTCCCAAGGTGCACTACTGAGTTCAGGGTTTTTTTTTTGTTCATTTTTCCCCCTCCGTTGGATAGAAAGAGGCGGAAAACAAGGTGCTGCTGGTCCATTTGAGTTGACTTTTATTTTTTATTTCATAAAGAGCTTTATTTGATGAATAAAAGAGACGATCAGATGGAGAACTCTGAGATCATGTATGTGTAGTGTGTGTATGTGTTCTCTGATTTGTATGTTTATACAGTTGCCTCGGTCGCTTCAGTTGGTCTTTTTCATTGTTTATTTTGCTGGTCGACTGCAACAAAGAAAGTTTATTGAGATGATAGAGCTTCGGTGTTGCTTTCTTGCTTTTCATTTTCCGTCACTGTCCAGAATAATTCTGTTTTTCATCTCAACCTATTAGCTACTATTTTAGAAGAATAGGCTGTTTATGTTCCTATGTGAAAATGTTACTGTGGTGGCACTGAAAATTGCTGGTAGCACAGCGTTTCCAAGTGCCCTTGAGGTTCTTGGCACCAAGAGCGGATCCCATCATTAAATCACGTAAGTGTAGAAACACCCAGACTGAACAAGAAGTCACTTTGTGAAGGAGAAACTGATCTTCCAAGCTTCCCCAGCTGAGAATGCACTCAGTCCAGTTTCCTTTGGGCTTTCAGCCACGGATGCACAACAGCACAACTGGGAAAGCTAACCTGGTCCACCATTTCAGCAAGTTTAAAATTTTGACAAAACCTGAAAGCACAATTGCGGTCCTCCACAAGCTAATGGAGAAGTTCGCTTGTTACTGTTTTTATCTTAAACTGCAGTCGCTTCTAATCAAGTCAGAACTAATCAATGGCCTTAATGTACCAGAGTACCAAGAACATCTGCTGGGAGAAAAGTGCACAATGTATACTGTAGCATAGTTGTTTCAGTGTACAGACTGTTATAGTTAACAGTAACCTATACACTACAGAGCAGTAGCTTCAGTTATTGGTGTCATTTCAGACCGCGTAATCCCAAATAAAATGCCCAGCTGACCTATCTATGTTCTTTCGTAGCTGTTGTGAGATTGGACAAGCTTAATACTCAATTTTTTGTCAAATTTTTAGTATGTTATTAAGTTTAAATGACTTTTTTCGGATGCATATGAAGGTCATACTGTTAGGATAGATTTCATTAAGTAAATAAATATCTGGTTGATAGGCTAAGCGAAAAAGATAATCAACTTCAGTTGTTTCAGCATTGCTAACTAGCTATGTTAACATCATAGACTACACTGCTAGCTATTGTAATATGGCTGAAGTTACACTAAGGCATTTGCTAACATTTTCCATATTGTACTTGCCATATATACCGACATTATTGCAAAAACCTAAAGCACAACAGAACAGAGCGACTAATAGGGGCTTATTTAGCTAGCAGCATTAAAACAACTGAAGCTGGTCTGTTGCTTAGCCTGTTGGGTGTTTCAGTCCATCGTCATTTGGATATCATAGTGCAGTCTGACAGTGTAGATTGTGGAGAATGGACTTGCTGTTAGTTAGGATATCTAATATAATCGTTTGAACATCAAAGTTTGCAAACAGTCAGCACCAGTCAGCACCTCACTCCAGCACCCCTCCTGCCTCCCAACTCTAGTGTTGTTCATTTGAATTTTGTCTGAAATATTGGGAGAATTTTAAATCGTGAACCCAGTGAATTGAACCTAAATCATGGGCTTAGTTTGAAGCTATGCTATGTAAGATTTGGAGACCTCTCTGGTGGAGATCTGTAATTGCACGCAATGTGTGGAAGAACATTTTGTAGCATGGGTTGTGCTTCGGCCCCCTTCCCTGAGAGGATGAATCTGGTGATTACAAGTGCTTTCAAAGAGAATCAGTCTAAACTTGGTTAAACGGCACGTCTTCTGAGGATGTGAGTGAATTATCTACTGTTGTTATCATATCTTCATCGGTATAAGGTTGGTTTTGCATTTGAGACCTGAACATTGACCCGGACCTTCTTTCAGAGTCGAGGCGTGTGACGTTAATATGTAAAGATGTATGACATGGTCTAAAAAAAACCTCCTGACCCAACACCTCTGACTATTTGAGGCTTTACAGAGTGGCTAAAGCGCACGCACACCATATTTGAGCCTGTTTTTATTCTCTTGACTGAGTGACGCTACTTCTTACACACAAAATCTTACATAGTGCAGCTTTAAGTTTTAGCCCTGTCGTTGGGCGATTGCGATTTTCATCTGGAGTCCAAGAGAGTATAGTTGTCCTCTTTCTCTAGGACGGCCCTCTACTCTATCACTCAGTGTGGTGCTAGCCAACACAGGCATCCGTTAGCTGATCTAACAGAACTAGCAGTTAGCGTTCTCCTCCTGTTGAGCTATTCAAAAGCAATCTGAAGAGATGGGGTTTAGTTTCATGTGTCTTGGAGGAAGCATGGTGCTGCTGCTGGAAGAAAACCTTGTATCTCCATTTTTGACATTTTTCAGTAATTTGAAAATGCATGTTGTCTTTTACATTGTTTGTAAATTTCATTAAGAATGGACCAAAAGCAACGTCCCAAAATGACTTGAAAAAATGAAAAAAGCCTGGTTCCATTGACTTACATTAAAAGTAAAGTAGGTTTTTAAGTTACCATTTTGGAGATACAAGGTTTTCTTCCAATGACAGCGACGTGCTGGCCTTCACCCTCCCAGCTAGAATCGTGTAATAGAGGGAGGTCTAGCTAGTGGGTGGAATTGACAATGACTAAACTGGGGCCAAATTTGGGTAAAATTCCTAAAAAAACAACCCAATTACATGACAGATTGCACTCACTGATAACAGTGTGACCTTTAATATGCATATGAAATAAATACAATTTATATCAATATCACACTTAATGTACACACTTAGACTTTCTCATTTGGTTGAATGTGTTTTCTGCCGCTGTCCCAGAAAGCTTGTCCAACCTAGCAACTGTTGCTAGGAAAGAGCATTTATGGGGAAAGCATGGATAGGTCAGTCAATCTGGGATCATATTAGGCTGCCAAGTTGGTCTAATAAAAGCTGAAGAAAATCTTGAGTTCACAATTAGTATAAAGGAACACCGTCATAGACGCTTAGCCGTAGAAGCAGTTGCATGCAGGTCCAAGTAGCTCACGCCCAGTGAATGTCCAGTTAAATCCATCAGATCCCCAGTGAATGGCCTGTTAGTCTGCAGTGTAGCTCTGTGAATGCCGTGTGTAGTGTTAGTGCGTGTTGTGTATATGAATCACGAGGCAGCTTGTGCTTGAGTGAGGAGGATTTGGGCTGTGTCTGCGATCCTCTCCTCAGGCCCAGCAGTCTTGGCCCCGTTTCCTTCCCCTGGCAGCCTCTGCTGCGTTGATCCGGCCAGCGTATCCTCCAGAGGTGACGTCCTGTACTATACTGCCTTACCATGATAACAACGCTTCCAGCTCAGACAAAGCCTGCGAGAGTAGAATTTGACTATTTAGTCAACTTTGTTCTAGTCTTACCTTCCTCATACAACACTTTTGATCCCTTACGCTGTAGCTGTGAGACTGAAGTGACCTCGTGGTGTTCCCCAGACGCAGCCCGTGTACCGTACTGTTCATGGCTTGCCTGTTTTTACATGCCTACCTATCTGTATTATAATTTGTTTCCCCCTCAGTGGCTGTTCATATTATAACCTCGATGTTCAAATTTTGAAGCGTGTCAGTGCAGATATAGAATTTATACATTATATATGTGTATTTTTTATTAAAAATAACTATTTTTTATCTTTTTCTATGATCTTGTCTTCATGCTTTCTTTGAATTCTTGCATACTTTTAGTAGTTCTGCAGTTATTCTGCAGCTCATATGTCTTTGTATAGCACATCAGTCCATTACGTTTATATAGCTGTACTAGCTGTTGACGGTGCTTTATCAAATTCTATTGGATTGTCTTTGTAATGTATAACTACACTCCACCTTATCCAGTATATTCAGCAAAAGTGGGACAGTACTCCATTAACAATGTGACTACTCAAAACATTGTTAAATAATTAATAATTTAATAAATGAATAATCATTTTAATTCTAACAGCTCGTGTACATATTATCAATATATATATTGTGTCACATTTGCTGAACTCATCATACTAGAAAATAAAAATAAATGAAGAAATGATTCTATAAACAATTGACAATGTCCCAATGTCAAAACCTTGCATATTTGGGTAGCTTTGTGGTTTTCAGTTAAAGTTTTTAAGAACTCCATCAGTTTTGTGGTGTGAATGTCTGGTCATTCAGAGTGGGTTTGGGGTAAAATGGTTAATTGTAGAGACTCTTCTAGAGGTTTCTTTACAGTGGTGGTGATAGGAACCAGGGGTCTGCAGTTATCCGATTATTCAAATGGTCATGCAAACAGCACACTCCAGTCTAGAAACCCTATCAAGAAATCTGATAAAAAAGAGCCGGATTTTAGCTCAGTAATCAGATTTCTCAGTGCATGTTAACTCTTACTCTGATTTCTCAGTCAGTGTGCAGTGTGGAACAGACTGCTACATAGGAAATAAGTAAGCAGCGTTGCCGCGAGACGCGGCAAAACACTTTTGGAGTGACGTCTTCTTCATCTATTCTTCATCTTCTAGATGATGTATGTTCATATTTTCAGGTAAAGTAGTGCGATGTTTAAGAGAAAAAGCTGCGGCATGAAGTTTGAGTTTCACATTACGTTTACATCACGTCTTCTTCTGTGAGTTTATTGGCTGGTTGCAAAGCAGAAATTGGATTGTCTGACTCATGTAGACCTGGAGTTTCCCCCATTATCTGATTACTCAAGTGATGTAAACGTGGTGATCAGATTACTGACTAAGTCTGATTTTCTGCAGTTATCGGATTATTAAGTGCATGTAAACACCCTGAATGTCTACGACACCAATATAGCCATTTTATTTAAAACCACCTACACGTCTTCTGAGTTTTAAGTGTAATGTTGATGGTGAAATAATAATTTTCTGTGATGTAGCTTTTAGCAGCATTAAACTCTTTAGACGTCTGGTTCCTATCACCACCACTCTGAACGATTCAGACCATTTCATTATGGAAAAATATTGAAAAATCAGTAGAATTCCCCCTTGTGTGATACATTAACTCATGATGAAAACTCTAGCTGACCTTAGCTAAGACTAAAAAACAAGGACAATATTTCTCTGTTCTCAGTGTCATCTTTGCTAATATGTTGGCACATCCTCGGCACTGAGGAGCACACAGTTTGTGTAGAAGACGAAGGGTCATCACCATCCACTGCTGTACTGCTAGCTCTTAGCTCATTAGCGCTGAACTGGATATCCATTAAATCTTATGGACACTTGAAAAACAAAATTTATAAGGTTGCACATCCGTATCGTCTATGTGTAATACATCGCAAGAATTATGGTTATTGAAATATGTAACAGTTTAATCAAAATATAGTATTACACAGCTTTAAGGTCATGAACTCATGTCTATAGCTCTCCATTTGGGCTAAGCTGTAACAGAACAGCAGACAGTTCATAATTACGCTTGTGGATAATCACTCCAACAAAATTCTAATTCCAGGAAAGTTCAGTGTAGGCATTTATTTATTTGTTTATTCCTTGTTTATGTTGAGAAAGTTTATTTCTGCACTCACATCTCTCACTCATTGTCACATTCCAGAGTTTAGAAAGTTTCCAGGTTCCAGGTCTGGAGTGAGTTTTCACTCGAGTTCAGTTCATCTCTGCTTTGTAGGTGAGCATCTCGGCTGGGACTGCAGTGATGGCTTCTCCTGTCTGCGCTAAACTGTCTCTCACAGTTGCTTAGCTCACCTGTCAAAGTCTGGAGCTTCACCTGCTGAAAGCCCACATAATTTCCCTCAAATTGTCAGGTAACAAGCTCCAGCTTCTACTGACTCCAGGTTCTCGTTTCTCTGATGGGTGATAGCAGTTGTCAGGCAGGACTCAACTTGGTTGCAGCTGGGCTGACGCTGCTGTGTTTACCAACAGGAGAAGAGTAAAAATGACTTTTAATTAGCTATTTTAACTTAAAGGAGGACTGCTGCTTTATTCAGCCTAATCTGTGTTTGCTGCATCTACATACGGTCAGTCACTGTGGACGGTAAGACACCTGTACTTAGTAAAGCACCTGCCCATTGGATTCTATTATTAAGTGTGATAAG